GTGTTAGTTTGTGATACTCCTGCATGCTGCCAACTACAATGTAGTTTTCACCGGCCATGTCCAGATGCCCAGTAAATGGTCAATATTTCCTTGTGTATGGATGTATTGAACCATGACACAATGCTCACGGCAGGGAGTCGTAAAATACCGACTCCCTGGCTCACGGCTTGTTTCATGATGGACACAGTCATGTAGGGAAATCTCTGGGTTTCTGTCGAAATGGGACAGTTTTTTCCCCGATCGGCTGTGGTACGGAGGTAGACTTTTTGACACTATGTCTGGGATAAATCGGGCAGCACTGCATGCAAGACAGTCACTGGGTACAGATGACTTTGTACATGCAGCTTCTGCAGATGGTTTGCTTTCTGCAGCTCTGCTGATTTTGACTATTGTAAAACGGGCACTGTTTGCGCTTTTAGTTCGCGACATGCGAGCACAGACTAATCTTCACCTGGAAATGTTTGCGATTGGATTCAATTTCATTAGTTTTTCCTACAGTCCTATGCCGCTTCGTGCTGGCTCATTTTCGCAATTTTATATGCATGGTGAAAATCGCGAAAGTTTCCCGTCGTAAAGGTTTTCCCAATGTGCAGTATATTGTATACTCCAAATGCTGGGTAAACACTGGCCTGAAGCTTGAGCAAACAGTCGCCGAGCCAGTACCTAGTGCTTTATAACACTACACGTAGAGATAGACTCGTATGATCGGGGTATAGTACCGTAAAGTCTTGTATAAGAGCAGCAGCTTCTATGGCTTTCTTGGTGAAATTTTGCAGGCATCTATATGAGACAGGCTTCTATACAAGACAGTTATTTCTATGTATGTCAACACTTAAACCAGGCTTATGTGTGATTTGATGGGCCCAAAATTGCGGCTTCTATTCGAGAGCGGCTTCTATTCAAGTGCGGTTTTTATACAAGACTTTACGGTATACCAAGTTACAACTTATAAAAATGTCAGCCCCTGCAAAATTCGAAAGCAATAGTATCTGTCCAGTCATCTAGACGGGTTGTAAGAGTAATACCGTACAGTAGTAATTATGTCACCTATTGACTATTGTGATGAAGAAATAAGGAAGGCCAAATTTTATCCTGGATAAAAAGGAGAAGGGCAAAATGGTACGAGGTATGACTAACTGTCCACTAACGTAACCAGATCATAATACAGTCAGCGAGTGCGACAAAATGGCACTAAACTGACAAGGAGTACTGAGACATTCACTGTGACGACCTGACACCTAGCTCCAACACTTCTACAAGGTGCAGACCAACAACCTTCCAACGTGGAAGGCTCAGGTTAGGAAAGGTCCAAGAGGGGAAGGAAAGCACGGCGAAGAAGAACACGAGCCACGTCCCATGGCAACAAAGAATGCCGAAAGTTGTTGTTGGTTGTTGGTTTGCGCCTCGTAGAAGTGTTGGAGCTATGTGTCAGGTTGTTGAATGTCTTCGTTCTCCTTGTCGGTTTTGTGCCATTTTGTCGCACTCGCTGACTACATATGATCTGGTTACGTTGATGAACATTTGAAAGTCATAACTCTTTTGTCCTTCTCCTTTTTATCCATAATTACATTGACTCACCATCCGACTTCAAATAGTGTAGAACGGGTAATTTTAGCGACTATTAATTTTAGCGTTTTCCCATTGTCAACCGGTTAGCGACGTTTTATTTTAGCGATTTGCAGCGATTTTACTTACGGATCACCAGTGCACTACTAATGTCTCAACGGATTAGCAACTTGAAGCTTTAGCGAAAATGAGTCGATCGCTAAATTCGCTAGGGTTTTTATGTATGTATGTATAACTCATAATCACAAGGTGATCGTAGAGGCATTAATCAGCGAGAGAATTGTGAATGATGTCTCTGGGTTTTTACGTCGCTAAAATTACCCGTTCTACAGTAATATCTTGTGAAAAATAGTACAAGAACACGCGTGTGATGTGTTGACATGCAAAACAACTTGAACTTGAGTAAAGGAATGAGTATAATTATGTAAACAATCGACGAGGAGACAATAGTCGTAAAATGGCAATAAATAAGATAAATTGTGCACTCATAACAACAGCAAAAATGAAGAAAGTCAAGTTCCATAACGTTTTCTTGTGACTGTCATCAGTGGAACGCCGTCACATAAAAATGTAATAACTAAAACACACACTTATATACATGTAGCTAATATGGTTTCAGGTAGAAATACAGCAGCTAACAAGTACAAAAAGCGAAGTTTGCACCTTTGCAATGTGTGAATATAGTGTATGTGAGAAAGGTAGTGGCAGATGAATGTGATACTGTGTGAATGAATGTAATGGTGCGTGTGTATTACTTGAAGAGTGTGAGTGATGTGCTGTGCTGTGTGAACAGAAAAAAAACGTTGTAGTTATTACATTTTTATGTGACGGCGTTCCACTGATGACAGTCACAAGAAAACGTTATGGAACTTGACTTTAAACACAACTTTCTTCATTTTTGCTGTTGTTATGAGTGCACAATTTATCGTATAATTATGTATAGGGTAATATCCGCTGGTGAGCTGATCTACTCACCTCCCACCGCTTTATAATGGGCCATTCGCACTACGCCCGGAACGTGGCGTACGTGACGTTTTCGTCCGGATAGCCATGACAATATGGAACGTGGCGGGAAAATCGTACTGATACGAAAACGTGACGACGTATCCAGACCCCTGTACCGAGTTTCGTTCTGTCGTTTCCAGCAGTTTGTGTCCAAAAGAAGCTGTACACACAGCTGTACGAGCAGCGTGTGCTGGCCTATGTGAATGCACCTGCATGAAAATGACGTCTGCCAGTACGTCGTATTCCAAAACGTGACGCGTATTGTTACGTAGTATCAAGAGTACATAACCACTGGGGGTTCAATTGTACTCTTGGTAGTATGAATAGCCAAGTAGGAGCTGCATCTGCGCCTTGGTCCTTGAAGGGTGGGGCGTTCCTACGGATGCGGAAAACTCGGCCTCTATAATTATTATAACCGAGTCTCACGCGAGCCGTGATTTTTGTTGGAAAAACGTGATTCTGTGGCCACGGCAATTTTCGCAGAAATTGCCATCATTCGCGGAAATCACGGAATCCACACTGTTGCCTGCAGAATCCAGGTAAATTAGTAAAATTACTACTCAGAAAGCAGTAGAAAAGCTACTTTGGGATCTGTTTGTGCACATTGCTCTTGCCAGTGAAGGTGAGTGCAGGCCTCTCCAAGATTCTTCACATCCATTCCGTTGGTGAGGGCAAAGGATAGTGTGAAAAGTACTCATTCATACAACGAGCTGGCATACTGTAGAACGGGTAATTTTAGCGACTATTAATTTTAGCGTTTTCCCATTGTCAACCGGTTAGCGACGTTTTATTTTAGCGATTTGCAGCAATTTTACTCACAGATCACCACTACGAGGTGATTTGGCTTTTTTTAACATGGTTGTAAAATGACGTTTTTTCAGCCACTTCTAGGCAAGCTACGGCCAAATGAATTGTTGCAAGTGGAAGTGCTATCCCTCATGCCCGTTGTCTCAAAAAATGGGAATGATCCCACTTTGGAAAGTGTCTTGAATCATGTCCTACTTTCACAGTATTCTCAGGATTCAAATAATTGGTGTCATTTTTTAACAAATTTGTAAAATGTCATCATCACAAACTAGGATATTCGGTCATCAATAATCTGAAGTTTATAGATATCACTTCAACTTCAAGAATTGCTAGTGGATGAAAAATTAATCTGTCAACTGCATTGTATGCTGCGAAAGCCGTGTTTTTGTATTTGTAACTAGTGGCTGTGTCATACGGTAGAATTGGATAGGTAGCATAGCATTTCAGCCATGTTTTCGTTCTCTCAGAGTGTATTCCTTTACCTACTGTTCTTCATTATTGTCTTTAGTGATGGCAAGACGGACTGACGTCGTCCAAAGGCCCTGCGGAAGCAATTCACTGCCCTCCTCGTCCATTCAGGGGCTTATTTTACACATTTTACACCAAATGGCAAAGCACCCATCACTAGTTATACGGACGTGGCAGGGAGAATTAAATTGTATGCACCAAATGTTCTGGTCAATGTTGATCTACGATAAACTGGCTCTCATTTGCCACCACCCATGTTTCGATACAGCCAGAAGAAAAGCAAATTTTACACATTTGTTAAAAAATGCCAAATGTTAAAAAAAAGCCAAATCACTTCGTACTAATGTCTCAACGGATTAGCGACTTGAAACTTTAGCGAAGGTGACTGTAGATCGCTAAATTCGCCAGGGTTTTTTACGTCGCTAGAATTACCCGTTCTACGGTATCCTCTAAAAGGAGGGTGAAATATTTTCAGAAACTGCCGCAGATTATTGATTTTACTGCAGAAAATGCCGCAGAACAGCCCTCTTTTCCCCGTGAAATTCAGAATTGTCCGCGTTTTCCAAAGGGACAGATTTAGGGCTCCCTGATCAGCCATCAGCAGGCCAAGAAGAAAACACTTGCTGAACTCTGATTGCGGGCTGAGGGTGGTTGGCCAGTCATTTCCGGTGTGAAGTTGAGAGCCAGGCTACACAAGTAATTCCAGGAGGGGATGGTGGTCGGGGTTTGGGATGGTCAGGGATGGTGGTCGGGGTTTGGGATGGTGGTCGGGGTTTGGGATGGTCAGGGATGGTGGTCAGGGATGGTGGTCGGGGTTTGGGATGGTCAGGGATGGTGGTCGGGGTTTGGGATGGTCAGGATTTTAGATTTTCTTCTCCAGGCTTGTTTCTCCTCCATGAGGGAGGAGAAACAAACCTGGAGAATAAAATCTAAGAAACAACAGGAGAATGAAAGAGTACAGAGACTGGGCGCTTACCCTTTCTGCGCGTAATCAGTACAATCTGTAACCCCGGACCGGGCGTATACCCTTTCTGCGGGTAATCAGTACAATCTGTAACCCCGGACGGCCCCTAAAATGCTGCAAAATAATAAGTACAAAATATTGCACATTTCATGTCGCCTAATCCCCCGCACACTTCTCATTCAACGTGAGATCCAACAGAAAATCACTCGATACGCATAATAAAAACATCATGCATCCTGCTGCTGTCGGTGTTCAACACGATGGGATGGAGAGGGCCGGTGGCAGTGCGAATGGAAATGTAGAAATATAACAGAAATGCAACGGAAGCAGCAGCAGCAGCAGCAGCAGCAGCAAGGAATAACAACAGCACCGGCATAGCAGCAGGTATTATTTAGTGGTGACCAGCACAATACACTATGCACAACAACAACAACATCAATACGCGAGGGGGTGATCTTTCCAATAAAGTCCGGATGCGAGAAGAAGCTACTCGTAATTAATCCGGGAAGGCAGAATTAGAAGGCCACTCGGCCTAGAGACGTACTAACCCAGCGAGGCAGAATGTGGAGCAAACTGACAACCTCGGGGGCTCCTCAACATGATGTGCTGTCAAGCAAAGCAGGACACGGAGCCTGGCCAAAGAAGCAGGGTTGTTGCTCTTTAGAAACAAATCCGCGTCCTCCAGGGTTGCTCTTAGAAATCCACGTCCTCCGGTTGGTCCAGATCTCTGTAGTCCATGAGACGACGATCGCGCCTTCCACTGGATACAGTGAAAATATGGCAGAAAGACAATAATTAATACTTGTCAGTGCGTGCAAGTGGACTATCCCAAGCAACTATCCTACAGAAGTTCACCGCCACTGATTAACTAACATCATTCGGCAATGGTCAAACTTGGGAAATACCAAATAACAGCAGCAGCAGCAGTGTTGACATGACACAAGTCAAGCCAATCATCATACACCGAGAGGAATTGCTGTGGTAAACACGCATGAGGGAGTTGTCAGGACAATCATATGTAGAGAGAAGTCATCGTCTTAGCATTCATCCACACTGCAACCCAGCTTAGTTCATACATCCACACTGCAACCTAGCTTAGTTCGCACATCCATGGTGAACAGAGGTATGCAAAAGAACGAGAATGAGTTCACTTACCGGCCTCTCGGACCGCCTGGTGGGAAGGGAGGCCTACCAAACATTTCCATCGGTGGACCACCAAACGGGTTGAACATACCTGGCATGAAGGGAGGATCTAAATGCAAGAAGCAGTGACAAGAGCAAGGACAACATAATACCGTATGTCAAAGCTTTATACTAGTATTCGAAACACCACTGCATTCCTAGCTACATGTACAGTCGTCCCTCTCTAATCCGGCACTTGTTTATCCAGCACCCTTGCAAACCAGCACACTTTCTGGCGAAACGGATTTTTTCAGTTCATTTTCTACGGTTTAATCCGGCACTTGAATTCCGCCTCCAGCAGCGATTTTCCGCAACAAATCACTCAAACTGTACATAATTTAATTTTCCAATCCAGCAGTTGTACATCGCATACCGTCAGGGAGCATTGTAACATACACAACACATGTAACATACACTTGGGAATATCCTATGCCAGTGCACAGGATATTCTCAAGTGTATGTTAAAGACATGCATTCCACAAAGTACTTGGATTGACACAGAACATCTCTACGTTTTGACGTACAACACCAACATGTATGTTAACAGGTGGGCCGGATTGGAGGGCAGGATTTGATAATCCAGCACCCTTGTTAATCCAGCAGAAAATGCCGTTGCAAAAGGTGCCGGATTAGAGAGGGACGACTGTATTTCGGATACGACATGACCAACCTGCAAGTACACCGTGGCACAAAGATTTCTATCTAAATCTGCTATCTGCTTTTCTGCCGAACTGGATATTTTGTTAGTATAGTACTCATCGCTTCATTTTACAAAACGTACCTAATTTTTTATCTCACTTATAAAAAGCTCATTTACATAGCCATGGCTTGCGGGTATTGAGCACTTTGTGCGCAGAGAGGACTTAACCATGGCTTTATAACCGAGAGTCCGATACTGGCTTTAAAAGGTGCGACCACATGGTAATGGCCAATAACTGCTAAAACAAAACAGCATACAATACGGCTGCAGCTGCTTTGATCCCTACTGGTATTCAGATAGCATTGCTTGCTGCACTCTACCCGGATTACACACACGCACACACACACGCACACACACACACACACACACACACACACACACACACACACACACACACAGGCCATATACATTACGAGCAATAATACGAATACAGCGATAACATTGTATTGGCCAGTAGTGAGTGTAGCTGTGATGCATACACACACACACACACACACACACACACACACACACACACACACACACACACACACACACACACACACACACACACACACACACACACACAACACACACACACACACTTACTGTATCCCATGACATGCGGTCGTGGTCCACCCCAGCCACCCATGAATCCAGGTCCCGGGCCGTACATGCCTTCGGGCGGGTACTCAAAGCCAGGGTTGGGTCCACCTTGCATTCCTGGGTGACCACCAGGTCCACCAGGCATGGGCCCCCCAGGGCCAGCCCGGCCCAAGCGAGCCCGAACAGGCAGCGATGAACCACCATTACCAGCGCCACCAGAGCTTGCGCTCGCCAGCGGAATGTGCGGTCGATCCGGATCACGCAAAAACGAGTTGAAGAACGTCACCTACGGGAGTAGAAAATACGATCCGCACACGTGTACACACATGGGCACACACACAAACATGTGTTAACAAGTCAGAATCATGTTCCACTCAGTTCTAAGAACACAAGATGCCTTATGGCGATGAAAGAAACTAGCCTGCACAGTTAGGAGCTGTACAATGTACTACCAGCAGTATCTGCAGGTTATTGGCAGCAAAGCAAGCACATTAGGGGGTCCTGAAGGAGGTACATTAGAGTATGGATTATACTGATATCGACTACCCGGGCGGTCGATAATTCGGAGAGACTGGGACACTGCTTACCTGCCCGCCAATGCAGAGTAGAACTACGTGTACATGTACATGATCTTGTATGCATTCTCCATCGTGTCACTGTATCTCATGTAACTTATGCATGAGTCCGACGCGGCACGTGTATCTGTGAATCTCTCATACCACTTTCCTCTACCGAACCCCTTCTGAACCCCTTCTGAACGGCGTCTGCGCCGAAGGGTTGCGATAACCAATGCTCTACTGTACAGGTGTGGCGCGCTACAGAGACTACAGTTATCTAAGCATGTGTTGCTGTTCACATGCATGTACAGTCTGTACCTATTTCCAACACTGCATAGCATGCACTGCAATGAGGCATGTCGCAGAATAAGCTTTAAAAAAATATAGATTCTCATCTTGGTTAGCGATGGCAGCCACGACGGCCGCTAGCGCATGGAATAACACAGTAGCTGAGATGTAGTGGCTCACTGTGTGAATGAGGGAATACGTCTCACGAAGTACCACCACTACTCGCACAAGTACCGAAAGCCCAATTCGGGGATAGCGGGGCACGTGACAAGTACAGTGAACTTGGGAGAGACGGAGCACGGTGGCAGGATTTCACAAAATATCTTCAAATTAGGTTAGAGCTGCCCCCACCCTCTCGTGGGCCACACACACGCACACCCATGGCTGTATACACATCGAAAGAAGTACTTACATCGTCTCGTACGACTTGCACAGCATCACCGTGCTTGTTGAAGATGTGCTTGCGAACAAATTCAGGCCCGCGGAACTTCTTGCCACTGAGTGGGCAGAGGAACTTGTCCTTGCTTACCTCCTTACAATTATCGTCAACAAAAGCCTCCACGGCAGTAAACACAAAACAAAGTGCTAGTCAAGGAGAAAACTGTTTGACATGATACAGTGGTTGTGACATGTTCTCTCACTGTTATACTGATATCAACACACTGACATCACTGATACACATCACCTCCACACCAGCTGGCGCGAATGTCAAAATATAAAAGTCAGTGTTTGGTGTTCTGTTACGGGCCATTGGGCTTTATCGATAACTTTCACTTCCAGCAGTCTACGATACAAGCAAAGTCATTGCTGTTGGAGCAGCAGCTAGACCAAGCCATACACAATACAAGCAATAACCACACTATGATAGATGGAAGCTGCTGAGGAGCAGGCCAGGGAGCATGAGAGGATATGTATCGATCGATTTCAGACCAAGCTGCCTTGCTTCATCAGAAGACACTTCTCCACGAGTTTTGAGCAAGACTGCCATACTGTCTTCATGTGCCTTGATATATTCAGTAACTAAAACAGGAGAAGAACAGCAACGGAAACAACAGCAACAGCAACAACAGCAGCAGCAACAACAGCAACAACAACAACAACAACAGCAGCAGCAACATGAGAATAAAGATTTGAAACAACAGCAAGGAACGCCATACGTACAACAAAGAGCTGCGCTGCATCTGGATTACAAAAACAACAATTTTTTAAGGTCATCACTCTACCCAGCTGCAATAACCTGATGTGATAAGTCGGTCCGGCACAAGCATGGCTAGACATTCATTCAGGCATGCATGCCAAGCTTTGCACAGCATAGTTTTATATCAGTTCTGCAGACAACGCAGGACTATCAAGATAATGCCAGGTCCAGGTTAGGACACACACACAGGAAAAGGAGTGCGGCAAGCTGCTTCCACCAATGCATCTAGCATCGATGCAGCAAGCAGAGAGGCAACAGAGCCATGCTTCTATGCCCCTTGGTATTTGTGAGACAAACAAAATAGGTCTGCGGTCACATGGAAGAAGACGAGAGGGTGACCAAAAAAATGAATCCTTGGTGGTCGAACAGAAAAGTGATGAGACCATATCAAGTCAATCCACCTCATATATCTGAGGCAGATAATTGACATACATGAAAGTTGGTCATCACATCCCAGCACAATTAATCCATGGCACTTACCGTCCTTGAGAGATGCTTTGAATGTCTGTACGACAGGTCCTCGCACATGGATCACACAACATCTGTGTGGCATATCATGTTCATCTGACACCGCCGATGTTTGGTAAAAGTCCACGGAGTGAACAAGACGCAAGTACAGAAGAAGCCTGTCCAGGAGCTGAAGAATGAAAGAGGAGGAGAAAAGACAAACAGGACAGGAAATAAAAGGCTGTGGAAAAGCTTCCTTGTGATCAGTTTCTTGATTTTGATGACTTATCTAGACAGCAAGCACACTGTACTGGAAATTGACAAATGAGAAGAAGAAAAGATAGGAGGCTGAAAGATAAGGACCTAGCGTCAAGCGTGAGCGAAAAGAAGAAACGCGAGATATTTTACACATGGACATTGTAACGCAAAGCAACACCAGAATGCTACAGTCTCTAGATTGAATGCAGAACACAGGGCAACCCTGACATGAGAGGTTTCCACACCACATTAGATGACACAACTGAAGTGATAAACTGCCACATTGCTACACGGCTATAGTAGTACTCCTGGTGTAGAGCTCTACACCAACTCAACAGCAGTTACAGCAGCGGCAGCAGCAGCACGCATAGAGACGTGCTCTAGTGTGAACCATAGCACCATGTACACATACCCGAAGCTGCTTGTCATCACGCTTAAACATTCCGCCAGTATTGACAACAGGTCCTGTAGATTTCTCCTCTTTGACTGTGCCATCTTCATCATCGCTGGCAGCAGTCTCACCATCACTTGTTGTTGATGTTGTTGCTGGTGCTGATGATGAACTACTCAAAGAAGATGACATGTTAGTACTGGATGTAGATGAAGTGACGCCACCCTCTACTCGTCCATCACCTGCATACAATAGGTGAAAGCTCATTGTTGCTATTCGAAGTCTCAAAACTTAAACAATCATTAAAAACACAATAACGGGGAAATGCATAACCAGCCAAAATACACAAACACGTTCTGGCAATGGGTGACCAGCTCGAAACGACACAATTTTACCAAATTTATAAACTTTTCAAGCAACTCAGCACATTGAGTGAGTAGAATAGAGCAGTTGCCAGTAGACAAACATCTTTTTTCTTCAAGAACACAAGGCAGAGGAATCACCACTAGCGTGCATTGTGTGTGTGTGTGTGTGTGTGTGTGTGTGTGTGTGTGTGTGTGTGTGTGTGTGTGTGTGTGTGTGTACGCATGCACACATGTTCACGAGCCGACACATACACACAACGAAGAGTACATAACCCCAAGAGCATGCAACTGTGCATATGGGGTCTGGCGCAGCGCGCTGCCAGCATTACGTAGCCACAAACTGTGGGCCATTGCGTCGACATTGATCTGCTACGGTTTCCTGCTTCCAAATCTGCTTTCCTAGGAGACTTCCGCTGGTTTAGTACCTGATGCGTCACGGACAGGCATTGCCTTTGAACTGACCGTGTGAACGTGAAATCGTTGAGGCGAAATCGTTGAGGCTAAACCGTAGGAAACTCAAATCCAGGCAGCTGGATCGTCATTTCACTAGGCAGCGCGCCGGGTACCCATAGCTCAGAAATCAGAGTTGCACACTCTTGGGGTGATGTATTCTTAACCATACATGTAACTGTACACAGGTATATTTCTACATACTGTTCGAGTACGAGTATCTTTCCAGTGCACCTCTCTAGGAGACAAGGTGCAGCTGAAACTCAGGAAATATGGTACATGTAGTACAAATGTAAGAAGGAGAAGGATAGAATACACTTCAATACAGTCACCGTGCGACGTCTTACCTGAATCAGTGCTGAGTAGTGGGTTAGAGGAAATGCATAGCTTGACAACTGGCACCTTCGTCTCCGCCGGCTCCTCCTCACTCTCGGTCGTGGCTGCTTCGCTTGACTCTTCAGTAGAGGTTTTAGTCTGCAAGTATGACCCAAGAACACACAGCATTATGTGTGTACCAGGATGAAGAAGTTTTAAAACTATGTGTTGCGAAATGATTTCTAAGAGCTCTTACTGCTCTGTCTACTATAGTTGTGCTAGGTGAAGGCCAACCCAAAGCGTATATTAGGCACACCGGACTTGCACGGAACCCAAAGCGTATATTACGCACAGCGGACTTGCACGGCCCTAGACGCTCTAAATGTGGTCTGAATGCAGCTGGACGTACAAATGTACAACTACACTGATGCCATGGCAACTACTGTAAACCGCCCAATATCTGCATCACTAATTTTTTTTGCAATCTCTCAGAACCAGAGAGCTTGCAATGGCAAATGTTACCGGAGCACTGTGGCCACTCATATACATCACCGTTCTAGTTTGATTTCACGATGGTTAATATTAGTAAAACTGTACAAGTTAGCGCTGCGTCGATGCATCACCAAAAGAACATGTGTATACAGAGTGAGTGAGAGAGAGAGAGAGAGAGAGAGAGAGAGAGAGAGAGAGAGAGAGAGAGAGAGAGAGAGAGAGAGAGAGAGAGAGAGAGAGGGAGAGAGGGAGAGAGACCTTGACACACACCAACACAATAAAACAAGAGAAAGTTGTGCTCTCACTGCCACCCCAATGTGCTAAGCAAGGAGTACGTTCAGCTAATTCCTCTCATTGCTTCACTGCTGCCAAATGCGGCCATTAGAGTGGCCCTAGCCCTACCTCTGGTTCTGGCTCCAGTTCATACACGCTGTACTTGCTGTCAAGATGCCTGATGAGCCTGGTAGCAAGACGAATGTCAGCCGCTACAGCCTGGCGCGACAGGCTCAGGTGTGACACATTGCGCACACGATTGGTCACATCGCGGTTGGTTATAACGTTCAGTTCGTGGTCCTTGAGCTGAACACGGAACAACCAATCATGCAGGCGACACCACAGTGCTGCAATCAGTCCCTACAATTCTGGGGCACCATAGTATCAATAGCATGGTGTGATTGCAAGAAGAACATGGCAATACAATTCATGTACACAGGGAAGAGGAAATGGGTTGTGAAATGTCAAACGCGGCTTACACACAGCTCATACAGACACACACAAGCACTATTCAAAACAGGAATTGAACAGAAGCCAGCTGGCACACACACACACACACACACACACACACACCTTCATAGTATTAATACTCCAGTGTGCTTCATTGATGTTCACATCCTTCTTGTAGGTCAGCCATGCACGTCGTTGGAACCTTGATAAACACACAAGACATGGTAAAGGTGAGTCCACAATGACAAATGGCCACAGATAAAGTACCCCATTCTGGTGCAACTAGAAGAAGGAAACCCATCTGCAATTATACATAGAATTCAGCATCACAGCAGATCCCAATCTACAACAGAAGCCAGGATAACAGATCCATCTTCCCAAGATCACAGCAGATGAAAGCTGACTAACTTTTTCTCAGGAGATGGTTCACCAAGAGCGGCACGCAAGAATCCGGGAGTCTTCTTCCCAATCTGCATGAGGAATAACACAAGGAAGCAGTCGCATGATACATGTACATCAGGAGGACTTATTGATGACAAGGTAGGAAAGGAAAACACAGCAGCAGCTGATTATGCTCAGAAACAACCAGCTGGCAAGAAATCACTCCTTGCTGATAAAACCATAAATCCTAACCTACTCTTGACGGCAATGCTTTAACCAGCAGTACAGTTCCCACGGTCCCACCACATTTCAATGTGCAAATGTGCCAACGCGTGAATCAGAAACCATGCCTTGACATGAAGATAAGACATGAAGTGCACCAATAGGTCTAGTTCCACTTTACTGAACACTATAAATTAGAGCGGGGATTCGGGTAGCAGTTTGCTCCGGAGAACCCGATTGGGTAGTTGGAATACGGCATCTTTGCAACGGTGCATGTAAAAAGCACGGCTCCGTGCTTACTGTACACTTTCTATGTAGCGCAAGTGCACGCTCACTGTACAAACTACAGTCAACTTTGCGTATAGCGACACTCGGCGGGGCATCAGAACAATGTCCTTATTCGTGAAGTGTTCTGATACCCGATAGGGCACCCAAGCTACCCGGTTAGAAATACCTCAACTTGTTACCCGACCAAAGCCCTACCTGTTGCAACTCTACTGAATACCCCGCTGCTCCAGTTGGCGTAAATGAAACAAACAAGCACAGGACTCTAGTAAAAAAGTAACTTACGATGCATGCATGCCCAGGAAGTACAACAAACAGCAAACACCAGGACTATTCAGCAGCCATTGCCCCCAATCAATGACATAGCAGACAAAGATGCACTGAAACTCACTGCTATCAGCTCAGCTCTGGTAACAGAGGGAGGGAGATTGCGGATGTGCAGGGAGCGAGTTTGATGCAATGGTCTAGGCTCTGGAAGGTCCTCCATGGCTTCATCTACAAGGTTAAGAACCGTACACATGGCGGTGAGAACAGACAGACGATAACGAGAAAATGTGCTAACCAGCCTCAGAAGGAATGAAATAACAGACGGATTTTCCCCATCCTGCTCATGCCAACGTGTGCCGTACATCTTGCAGTGATGCAACAAACGGTGTGTTCTTCAAACGAATAATCTGTCAGATAAGTATAGCATATTATAGTACTTGGCAATACTTGTACATGCAAAATGTTGAAAACCAAAAGCTTGAGCTAGATAACACAAGCATACAGTGAATTTGCGAATGTCACTGCTTGCATTCGAATATTCTTCCTGGTGTCAGTATTTATAGAACAGTCGAATAATTCAAATATTTCTGGCATCGCTAATATCTTGACCATACTACAGTTGAGCTCGGTGAAATCCGACCCAAAGTGCAAAGCTGACGCGGCCCTGGACCAGTTCAGATTACTGAGTACATCATTGTATCTGTACATGTGTACGTCCAGCCGCATTCGTACCACTTCCAGGGCGTCAAGGGCCGTGCAAGTTTAGGGCGCCAGATATGCACACTGGGTCGGATTTCATTGAGAGCAACTGTAGTACAATTGCATGTCGCTTATCCGACGTTTAATCACCCGGCACGTCGGTTGTCCAACAGCGAACTGACAACCCATGCACTGTATTAATTTACAGTCCTACTTCAAATAAACGTGGATGGTTAGCATCATGACGTTGCCTTTATGCAATGTTGCATGCGGCACGGATAGATAACTCAGGATCTCAACGCCAACTTTCACCCCTACAATGTAGAACAGTTACTTTTCTTGGTTTAACAAGTGTATTACAACTCGTAGAGTTAACTTGTAAAAAATAAGCAAAAACTTTCCGGCCAATTTCTCGTTACGGCCGATTTTGAGCAAAATAAGTGGTAATTTGAGCAAAAGTGCCCAAAATGTCCAATTTTGGGGTGCTCATTCCTCCGCAATATTGCTGGTGACCAGCTACTTTTTGGCCATTTCGTCTCTACCGGGTACATGTACACAGAATACACTGCACACTCCACACCCAAAATATTTCGGACCAATTTGAAAATCTGATTTAGTTTCCAGCTACCTTAAAAAAGAAAACTCAAAATTGCAGATCCAAGGTAAACTACTGAAGGGATATCTCAGTCTCGACCGTCTTTGGTGGCGACAAGTTCAGCCCTACTTTTGGATGCACTTTCAGTGTCTTTTGTGTGAAGGTTGTACGACCAGCAACTCATGCTGTGAAGCTTGTGTTTTTGTTCTTTACCAGCAATGCCCCCCCCCCCCAAGACCCAGAATAGTCACCCCGGAGGATGTGTCACCCACAACACTGTCAAGGAGATAGCTTCAAATAATGATACGTGTATGGACTCCTACAAAAACCGGATCCAACCAGATCCCAAGGCAGGATTTGCACTGATAATGATGTAGCATTTTCAGCCCTGTAGTTTACCTCCAGACTGTGAATTGTCCCCGCCATGATTTTCTTCATCTTCAGCGTCTTCACCATCCTCTGCATCACACTGAAACACACACACACACACACACAGGTACAGAAGCACATGTGTCTAAGATCCTCAGGGTACATGTTGTGCTCAATGTCCAGTGGACAGAGTCAGTATTAGTACAATTCTCACACTGCAATGCTACAACCAAGTCTCAATGTCCAGGGGACAGAGTCAGTATTACAATTCTCACACTGCAATGCTACAACCAAGTCCTTCTTTGCCGTTACTCTCTGCCGCCTTATTTCCGGTATATATGCTTGGAGAATGGTAATCTTGATAATGCTGTCTGATGACTCGTGATGAGTGCTTTATTCCGACCACAAAACTCCAAGCATAACGGCAAAGAAGGACTTAGTTGCACCGTTGCTGTGTGAGAATTGTAGGTACAGAAGCAGATGCACAGAGAACAGCTCTTTACCTCACCGAAAACACCCCTATTTTAAAATTTTAAAATAATGTGAAAAATGAATTTTAAAACACAGATTGGGCGCGTTTGATTATACACGGTACCGTCCATTCTGGGGTTCCATTCTGTGCATGCAGCTTTCGGTTATACAGATCTCGTCCTCAGAATCTATGGAATCCAACTCTGCCCATTCCGAAGTAAAGCTGGAACGTGGAATCGACCGCGTCCATTGGATGGGATAGAACACTTACAATGGGGAAGAACAGGGGGCACAATGGCAGTCATCTTACCATTCCTTCATCGCCGGAAGCACTTTCGCCCGCTGCTGCTGCTGCAGATGAGGTAGTTGCATCAGATGGTGCTGCAGCTGTAGAATAATAGTAGCCACACAACAGACAAAACAAACCCCAAAACACAATGAGACCGACGTCACGAGATTTGCGCAGTATATCGCAGGGCATAGATTAGTGTACACACTTGTGTAACTCCTTCAAAAACAGGTCCATCGCGAAAATCGATACATCCTTGGAAAGGTCTTGAGCTCAGCTTTCCAGGGATATAAAGTTCTTTGCGATAGGAGAAAGATTGACGATGCAGCGATTGAGTAAACACGAAATTCACGGCACTGAGCGACCGTGAATTTTGGAATTCCCTATGGCACGGTGCATGCGTAATGGACACCAAAGGAAGCACGTGGATCTCAGCTTTGCAGTGCAGTTTGAATCGTGAAAATGAGCTGTGGGAGTGGATGTTGAAGTTGCACTGCCGTGCATATCGAGCTGAGGGCTACCAGGATGGATTCGCTTGGTCCTGAGCTTTCTAACAAGCCCATGATGGTGTAAAATCCATCAGGGTGAACTGAAATGAGAGAAATATTCGTTCGGACCTGTGCGCGAAAACGACACCAGGAGAGTCAGTTCACTGGAAAGGCAGTTTGCTGGAGAACAAGGGGCCAAAGAAAAGGGTTAAGCACCCCCCCCCCCCCCCCCCCCCCCCCCGCCTCCCAACAAGAGATTAGGAAAATAAGAGCTTGTTGAGAGCTCACAAGGAAGAGAACAAGAGCTTGAGCAAATTTTAAACACTAACATCACACAGTTGAGAATGGCCGCCTACCTGCTTGTTCGAATGATGTCGTGTTCTCAGTCCCAGGAGGCACCTCGTCACTAGCCTGCGTTGTTTCATCATCTCTTTGTGCAGGTTCCACTGGAGTATCGCCGATGGCCGGGGCAGCAGCAGCATCAGTAACACCAGGAACTGCAGGCTCACTGTCAGCGCTGGCATCTGCATAGCATGGGTGTCAACAACACAATCATTTTAAAATTAAAACAATATGGTTTTAAACCGCTTAGCATAACACTGCTTGGAAGCGGGTGGGTTTTTCCAAGCGTGCTGCAATCCACAGTGAATTGGGCAACTTTGGCCTGACACAAGGGCAACATGGATGCGGCAAATGGGATTTCGGCCTTTGGCTGGTGGATCTGATCTATCTTCTCCACCGTTTAGGAGCCGCATTTGACGCCTGATCATGGTAAGGTTGCATCAGCGGATACCAGTAGGTGGTTCTTGACCCGCCCTGTACCCGAGGCCCAGGGAATTTTCTAGAACCGCCCCAACCGGTTTTCGACCGGTTGAAATTGTTGGCGACCGGTTGAAAAGTTACAAATCAGTTCCAACCGCCCGTACTTTTCTGTGGGTGAATGGAGCTGCTTATATCTTCGCTACACTCCAGCACCAAGAAATCTGTTAAATTGCTGTCGAGTGCCATATTTGGTTTGTATTTTGAAAATGTTTCCGGGGGGACCCCTGGACTCTTCATTGAAGCGTAACCGGTTGGAAATTCGTCCTAGAATATACCCTGGAGGCCGTAATATTTTTTGTATATATACTAGTACAGTGTATACTCAATCTGCGGACAGAACTGTTTCGTCCTTTGTGGACTCGTCAGCGCAGCACAGAGGAAATGAGGCCGAACCTGATAGCAATGGAAATAAAAATTTCCAATCAGGCCCGAACGTACCTTGCCAGAGTGCTCAAACTGACAAGTCAGTGAGCTCTGCATAACGCAAACAGCAAAGGCACTACCCCACGCAAGAGTGCTCAACTGCTACTAGTACAGTGTATATCTATATTTTAGCATACTCAATCTGCATACATAGTACACTACACCTACCGGTACATGAAAGTGAATAGCAAGGTGGCTTAGAGGCTGGAGTTGACAAGCAAAATAGAGTACGGCCATGCCTTGTGCTATGAGTTCCGCAGGAGAGCAAACGTATAGGATGCCCAAACAGCAGAAAGAAACGTACCATTGTCACCGTCACCATTTGCAGCGGCACTATCTTCTGCCGTCTCCATCCCCGGTGGCGCAGGCTCAACGCCAGGTGGAGCTGGCTCATCAGCTTCATCGTCTTCATCGCTGTCCTCTTCAGTTTCGCTCTCATCAGTATCATAACTATATGCGTCCCGGTGGTGGCGACGATGCTTTCTCTTCTCTTTCTTTGCCTTAGCCTGCTCGGCAGCCATTTGCTCTGCCATCTGCGCAATTTGCTGTTGTTGAAAAGCCTACAAATAGCAGACGCAAAGAAGCAAAAGAAAAAGGTCAGACACAAGCAAGCCGCCCACAAAAGGGCCAGCTACAAAAAAAGACAGGAACGCAATGTCAAGTCCCATACAATGGGCTAGCACCCCCCCCCCCCCCCCCCACACACACGCACATACACACAAACATGGCCAGCACAAAGTAATCCAACCAGTACAGCAGCATTACCTCTTGTTTCTTCAAGAATTCCTCGCGCTGCTTCTCTTTGGCTGCTTTCTCCGCTGCTTCCTGAGCAGATACAGCAGCAGCTGCAGCATTTGCATCAACACTCTCTTTCTGTGGTGGTGGATCTGAAGGCAGCGGTACAGAAGAGGGTGACGGTGGATCAACAGTGGCCCCGGCCTTGGGCTTTCCTTCGGCTTTCTTGATCGATTTCTTGCGATCCGGTGAACGAGACGGAGACGACTTGCTCTTCTTGCGCTCACGAGGTGGTGTGGGAGGCCTGTCAAGAATCCGGAGATCATTGTCAGTGCCACCTTCCATCTTTATCATAGCTGAACACAGACACAGGCACACACACCCACACACAGATACACAAGATAAACGTTGTCTAACATAACTACGTCTACTGCTGTCAACAAGCGGCTATATAAGAGCGCTTCTCCTTTTCACAAAGGGCCACATAAGGAAGAGATCAGTTATCAGAAATCTGTTTTGCAGCATACGGTGGTCGGTAGCTGAAAAGACAGACTCGATTGTATGTTGTATAGTCAACATAAGCATGACTACTCTAATCGTCTCCTCGTCAAAGCATCAGGGTACCAAAAAAAAGAAGAAAAAAACACGACGAGCCGGGAACACCAGAAAAGCCACACACCTGCATCCAGCAGCCTGACAATGCCATCCATATTCTCAGCATCGAGCCCAATCTTGTCTAAGCGGCCAGAGTCCATCAGGTCGACAAAAGCGTTGACCCGAGTGCGCAACTGCTGACGCACTGTAGTATCCCGGTCCTTCTTGATAACTGGATGATACTTCTCCCGGAACCTGTTCGCAGTACGGTTTGAAGCACAAACAAGGAACATACTTTGAGAGCTGCCACGGCACCTTACAAACACTAAACTACAGTCCCGTCGGGATCAGAATACTAGTGGCCAGAGCACCTTTGCAAGTAATGCTACCCATGCAGCCAATAATCAATTGGCAGCTTCAAGATGTAACAGAGAACAGCAGAAATTAGCCAAACAGCGATGCAAAGTACAGCCTAGTCATGTTTAAGCATCTCAGAAGGACAGCATTGATTTTAATTTATAAGTATTAGTTAGCACAGTTCAGTGAAAGCCATGTCCATGTGCACGGGGAGTGAGGCAAGGAAAACATGAGACACCGACTAGAAGATGAACAAGGGGAGGCAGACTTAAAATCAGATGCAAACAGAAACGCCTGTGCACTCTCACTCTCACACACACACACGCACATACCGAATACACCACATGCTATGGCCTTACACACGCGACGGTGATGAAGCTACTACTTCCTGAGTCTGCAGCCAGCATCCAGAGCGAAAAGCAACTACAACCTGAAGCACTCAACCTGTGCGCTAAGAGCCTACTAACTACGTCCTGACCTTCCTACATCTAGTTAGCCACCTTATGGCAAAAAGACTCTCTCTCTCTCTCTAAGCACCATGTTGGTGCTGCCTAAGAAACTCTACACATCTACACAACTCCATATGGGAGCGTGGTCTACAGCCGATCAGAGGCAGTCTAGCCATGGCTAGTGGCAAGAAGGGCCTGGAAGAAGCGGCGCTGGTGAATTTCACGACAGAAGTAGCTGATTGAGAGGTTAGGAACAAAGACAGAGAGCAACAATTGAGAAAACAACAATGCATACAATGCATGCCATTCACTCAAGGCGAATGAGTATATACACAGGGCTACTGCCAGGCCAACAGTTTCTTGGCAAGAGCCGTGATGGCAAAGAACTGGCCACTTCCATTACGTATACAGTCGTGTGTCGTTTATACGGACAAGTGGTTGGGACCCGCTTCTGTTAGGATCAACGAGTAATTCAGGTAACCGGAGCCGATCTATCCATAGTCTTGCACCATATAGTGTTCATTTCACAAGGTTTTCCAAAGTGCAATCGCCATTTTACTACAGTGGAACCTTGATGATACGCAGGTGCACGGAATTTGCACCGTATTGCATGCACAAATCCACACGTGCTTGGGAAAGATGTGAATGGCAATGAATAGAAGGTCATTGGTTCTGTTGATCGACATGCTCGGATAAGTGAAGTTCGGATAACCGACACCCGACTGTATCTATGCTAACCCTTTTGCGTCCGTTTGGTCAAAAATCGACGACTATCCGTCGATGACTTTAACCGACTGCAACTCACTCATTTTGTATCCAATTGGTACAAGTTAAGTGTCAAAAGAAGCACAAAAGGCCAACCTTTGATGTGCAAAAAAAACAGAGAGTCCTATGACTCATATCATGCCCCCAAAAAAATTATAAGCCTCTGAAGCAGGTCTGTTTTTGCAACGCGTACGAAACAAAGTTTCCCATGGTGTAACTTTGGAAATGAATAATTATGCTTTCCTCCTAGAACTTGACATCAAGGTTTCCCAAATGGTATACCTACAATATGTCAGCTTACAAGTGCACACTTGGGACTATAAATACCTCCAAAAGGATTAGCCATGCGTCACTGTCACCTTGGAAATATGAATTAAAAATGGATTTTCGCTTCTCTTACAAAAATCAAGACTAGGTTCTTGCCCCAGAGTACTCTTCACAGCTCAAGCTTTTCAAAACACTCAAGATCTCCTAATTCGCCCAAGGGAAGTCAAAGTTATGATCAAAATGGGACACGGTCTGTCGCTCGGACTGTAAATTGGCCGGGTTTGGTGGACGCAAAAGGGTTAAACTGGGGAATGCCATCAAAACAAGAACAAAGATGAAGCAACCAACCCCTTTCTTCTCTCTAGTCTCCTTAATTGCAAGTTGACTCCAGCAGATTTTCTCTGGTGGAAAGTTAGTGTGTCTATAAGGCATACTTGCAGAAAGATACACAAGAAATTGCTACAGAAGAGTCACAGCTATGCACACCTGGGTATAATGGAGGAACTCACCATTCTTCATCCTTGTGGGCATCAAAGAATTTGTTAATGGTGGTGCGTTTGAAGTCAAGCTTGTAGGTGTTGTAACGCTCTACGACCTCTTCCTCGCCAACATCATCGCTTTGATCAGCAAGCCATTGCTTGAAGGTGAGCATGGGCTGGTGGAACTGAGGCTCGTCTTCCTCACCACCAGCGGCCATTCCACCGCCACCAGCTGCACCGCCACCGCCACCAGCTCCCATCATGCCCATGCCCATACCAGGCCCTCCTTGCATACCGCCACCTGCACCGCCACCAGTACTTCTATACACACATAAACACACGTGCACAACCATGCACACAACTTAGACCTTGGCAGTGCGTCATAATGACAATGATAGCCAACTATACCAGCCGCTGCAACTCTGTCTGTCTCTCTCAGACTCTGTGTCTCTGTCTGCCTGTCTCTGAATTACATAATCAGTAATAAAGCGTTACTGATTATGCACATTACTACTTATGCGACGTGATGAGCGATGCGACCAAGGGTTTTTTCTGCAAAATTTTGCATAGCAAGTCACATTGTGGTAAGATTAGCCAAGTTCAACTTCTGCGATGAGCGACGCACCTAACTTTCTTTAGTTTTCACACAGCAGACGCACGTGACAAAAGTGCTCCGGCTTGCGTACCGTTTTGGACTGCGTGTGCTATGCAGGATTTCACTGCGATGCACTCGAAGACTCTTTGCGCGATATGACGAAGACTTTCTCTCGACGCTCATCACATCGCAGAAAAGATACTGTGCATCGTGCTCTTAAAAGCATGTTGTGAAAAATAGCGACCAATTTAGCCGTGTGATGAATGTTACGAGCACAAAGAACATTGGACTCCTTCCGACATTGAATAAAATCAAAACCAGAAGAGTCACAAGCACAGCAAAACACTGAAATACTAAGACACATCTGAAAACAGAATACTATCAGTTGAGTTGAACATGGAACTGAATGGCAAACTAACCCTCGTCGATCAGGTCCCATTCCGCCCATTTCTGGACCTCCCCACTGACCACCACCACCCATGCCATAGGGTCCCGCTGGGAAGTCACCGCCGAAACCACCAACGTCCCTGGAGCAAAGATAACCAGAAATCCACATAATTATGCAGGGACATATACAAGAAGTATTACGTGCACCCCACCAGCCCACCAACATCAGGGTACTTTAATGAGAGAGCAAGCTGAGAACCCTTCGCTATGCATGTCCATCATCGTGATCGTTTTTACTGAGCTAGGCGAACTGGTGCTTAGTCATGCGTCACCCTTGAGCGCCCGCTCCAGGCTTGACGTGTCGCCGGCCCTTTGGACGTACATTGTACCACATCCACACCCACACATGCGCACACACACGCAGAGATACGCAACAAGAGAGATAGCTTGGGACCCTTCGCTATGCTTGTTCATCATCATGATCACTTTTCAGAACTACGCAAGCTGGTGCTTAGTCACGTGTCACGGTTGAACGCCCTGCAAGCCCTTTGTGCCCTGTCACATGACCATGGCGTACCACCCACCCACCCACCCACCATCACACACAAATACGCAATAAAGCGTTGTGGAATCATAGCGCCTTTAGCATAGCTACGGGTATAAGTTTCATTCCCTGAGTGCATTGTGGTGTTCCTGCTAATGCGGGAGCTCAGCCTGACTGGATATCATGCAAACCGTAATTATTAAAATCGATGTCACATAAAATGTACTATTTTTCTTGACAAACCTGTTTGCTTATGTATCTGAACTGGATTTCTTCAGAGGTTCATGGAACCACAAACTAAACTTAATGCTATGAAACTCACAAGGTATCTAGGGTAAATTTCAAAATAGCCTTACCATCATTGTCACTATATCCATACATCTTCACAACACTCTTCAGGATATGGGCCTTGCCCGAAAATTCGAATAATTTTAATATCTCTTTTTCTTTTAGTGATTGGTGTAGCCCCACGGCTGTATTTTCGCAAAATTTGGACATTTAACAAGATGGCAGCCGGAAGTCTCGATTGGGCTGGATCGGCAAGAAAATTTGAATTTTCAAATTCTCAGCAGGCGATTTCGCTGTGGTTTTCGCTCGATTTAGAAAGCTGCCAGGCCAGGTTTACCCGGAAAACAGGTATTCCGTGTTCCTCTTGAAACTAGCTTTCCGCTGGTACCTCACATGCCCAACTTCCTCGCAGGAACAGTTTGTTCCGCGTTGCGCAAATCAAGCCTTCTTTCTCGCTCGTTGCTTGATTCATCGTTGACATGCCTGCCTCAAGAAGCCCTTTCAGAAGTTTTCCCAGTCTAGCTTTCAGTTTTCCCAGGTAGAGGACTATCTTCTGGCTATCTTCACCAAGTTTTATCACGTCCCGTGCACAAACTTCAGGTCCCGTGCGTGCGATGCTGAGCTACCTTTTCATGCGATTTAGGGGACAGATGGCATGGCGCTGGAGTCGCTGTTGAGTCTAGGAGGCCGAGGCCTGGTGGAAACTGCCCAGTAGACATGTGGGGTATTGCTGAGAAAGGCAGCAAGCACACAGATAGCCCCGAAATTGTGATGTAGATCCAATTGTGCGTTTGTTCGAGTGCATATCGGCAAATTTGAAAGTTGCACCCGTGATCCCGACAAGAAGCTGAAAATCAGTGCGTGCGTCAATATCCAGACTACCAGGGATAGCTTGGAGAGGTTCGAAAAGGTCAGGATGCTGGTTGACCATGGCAGGAGTTCCTTTTACCTTCCTTCTCCCTCAAATTGTCTGGATAATAGAGAGGTTCCGCATAACGTCATTACGTTAGTAAAAAACGTAGTCGATCTACAGAAAGTCTTACGTAAACTGCATGCGCATCTGTGTTCCGCCATACGGAGTTTTCAAATCACGTAGCTGCCCTTGGCAACTCCGAACGCGGCAGTGTACGACCAAATCGACCTGGGGAGAGAGTCATAAATTTGTACCCCAATCCACTTACGGACAAGATACGTTATCAGAGCCCTATCTACGTACTCTACGTAGACAACTTTCCGTAAGTGGAGTGCAAACTCGCGAATTCACGGGTTTCCCCCGCCCACTAACGTAAAGTTGCTCAACTTTACGTAGTGCGGAACCTCTCTATTGAGTATCTCGCTCGAGCGCTTTCAAATAATCCTGGTTTGACTTGCGAAACCGTGGAACCACACGGAGAGTGACATGAGTTTCATCCCAAAACGCAAACTCCCATCGTATTCATGAGGTTTGTACCGTGTTACGTAAATCGCACTAAACGACGCCATATTGTTAAATGTCCGTGCGCAAACAGCCGTGGCCCAGAGACCGTTTGGAGAGTGTTGTGAAGATGTATGGATATAGTGGATGGCTACAGTGGAGTCTTCGCATTTTGAGAAATCATTGTCACTAGTGCAGCAAATGTTCAAATATCTCAACAACAACATAACTGTTTGAACTCATGCATCAAAAGCTTACCAGTCTCGACGTCTCCTTTTCATTGGAGGACTATCTCCTCGCGGTCCTGGTCTATCGCCGCCACCTCCTCTTCTATCTGCGTAATCTCGTTTCCGTCTATCCCACTGACCCTGTTGATTTCCCATCTCACGTCCACCATCTGTGGGGGGTCGGCGGCCACCCCAGCCATCACGACGTCCCTGACGCTCCCCACTGAAGTCGCTACGTTCACGTCTGAATTTATCCCTTCCTCTTCGGGCTCCCCTGGTATCATGCTCTTCGTCACTGTCTCCCATCATGGTCACAGCAGTCTAGCAGGTATCTGGCAAGCCGCGGAGGATGAAACACCAAGAGGACTTCTTCAGCACACAGACATCCCTGACACACTTTGAACTAAAAAAACATCGGCAAAGGAATGGATATGACTGTTTATGTGAATATCTCTCTGACTCTGGTGTTTTTTGGGAGTTGCATTGCGTTGGTTGATTGTGCATGTTTTGTGCAGGTTTTATCTTTTTTTGCCGCAAATTTTTGGCCTATCGCGATATATCCCCGAAGATTTCAGCATGGCAGCAGAAACTTGTGAACTGATTTGCCATTTTCGTGTCTACTGCGCATGGTGTGTGTAATCATTCTTTCCGACTGACAACCACGTTACGTCACTGACGTGAATACGTCAGCAAAATTTGAAATCGACACGTGCTCAGACTCAGTGCTCTGCTCACAGCACACACAGCTTGCCGATCAACAAACAGCAATCTGCAGTGTAGACCAATGGTAGACTGCAGTCCACTGCTGACGGAGGCCACCATTGTCAAGGACAAGGGTTTATGCCATTATGGTGTCCCCTGTACCGATCGCCAGCTACGAAACAGACTAGCATAAGAGGAGACGAAAAACTGTTAGCTTTTCAGATTTTCCTCGAGCATCGGTGAAAGGTAGCAGTTGTTGCTCCACATCTTTGTTACGCTCTTCAATATAGGTTCTCTTACATAATATTATGTAACTTCATTGTACTAGCTGCACGTATTGCTCTGTGAACTTGCTGGGTGATGGCTAGTGGAACGAAATCTCTATCTCAGGTGGTGGAGGAGCGATGCAAAGAGGAGGAGGACGCGGCGTCGGGAGCCTTCAACCACATCTTTGTGAAGCCCTTGACAGGTAAGAGTGATTATTTGAGTGACAAGGTGCGAAGTATCACACAACTTAACGTTCAGCCACTAATGGTCACACGAAAGGGTTGCTCTTGTCTGCGAAGCCTATGGCCTGCATAATGCTCCTACTGCAATGTACAGCAGCTAGCTTGGTATTTTTAATTAGTACCGTAAAATCCAGCCAGAGCACCCCTACCTCCGCGACCCGTCGAGTACGTCCAGGTGGGGAGGGGGCGGATGGGCGAGTCCTAACTTGCCGTATTCACTATTTCAGTACTGCATGAAAAAATACTCATCCTACGAAAACTCGTACGCCGACCAAAGATCAAGAGCAGGGAGTCGTACCGACCCATGAAAATCCAGGATTTGTGCGATCGCTGGTCAAGAGGGTGGGAACTGTCACGTGCGTACATTTCCAACCGGGTGGAGCAGTACAGTACGGCATCACACTTCACAGAGTCATGCGAGGATACAATCATTATCACTTCCCTGACAAGAACGGTCGGAGCGGTGCATGAGAGAGACGGGGCGCTCTGGTGGGATTTTACGGTACATGCATAGAGCTTTTTCAAGGACGAGGCGCCGTGCCCATCAGCGGCGCTTACCCCGAGACTGTGGTGAGCAGGTAGCGCATTGACAAGTGTACGAAATGTGACAGGTTCGTCTTCACCAGCGCTTGGAGCGATTTTGAAGCTTGTTCGTTTTCGCCCAAACCATGGAAGGGCTTTCTGGCAGCTGCTCTGACTCAATACGAGTGTCGGACATGAAGTTGAGCACCATTCTAGTGCTTCTTTCACCTCCACGCGTCCATTTCCGTACAAGCTGAATGTGACCCGGACTTCGCCTGTTCACCAGCGATTCAAAAATTTCTCGCATGTGATGCCAGAAAGTGACCGTTGGTCAGAAAGTGACCGTTGGTCCGTCCTTGAAAGAAGCTCTACTGTAAAGCGTGAAATTTTCGCGGCGTTTTTAGTTCGCGTTTTCAGAATCCGGACAGGTTTGCGAGGTTTTAATTTTGCGATTGCAGAATGGCCTTCTTGCTAAACCTGTGGCATTCTTGCTTAACCTTTCATGGATCTCCTTTTCGCGCTGTCTAAATTTCGCGATTTCCACGCGGTCGCGAATTTCGCAGAAATTAGACCATCGCAATAATTTCACGGTTTACAATATGTTCATTTCGAAAGATTGGCACGCGAGCAGGCACAAGAGTTACTGACTTCTACCATACACATGAACCGCGTACGGACGTGCAAACTCCCGATATACACACATACACACTGTACCTGTATGGCACAAGCGTGTGAGATTCCCAACGTTGAGGGTATTGTGATTACGTCAGGGTTCTAGCCAAAGGGGGGTAGGGGGGGGGGGGGGGCGCAGCGCCCCCCTACTCTGTTTGCGCGCCCCCCCTGTGAAAAATTGCCGCCCCCCTACTCATTTTCCGATTTTCGTGTTTTTCATGCGTAGATGGTTCATAAAGGCACATTTGTCTGGGGTGAAGTCAGGGATTCGCCCCATACGTTGCATTTGGCGTGGCAAGACAATATTGGAAAGTGGAAAAATGGGATATAGGGTAACTGTTTCCCATGCCCCCCCCCCCCCCCCCCTACTATTTTGACCTGGCTAGAACCCTGTTACGTTATCATGTGTGATGCTTTGAACGAAGTGGCAAAGCCGTGACACAAGCAGTGGTGTTCTCCTCGACTCTCAATTCAAGCTAGCACTGTTGCATTTCATACTGAAACTTGCCATTCAAATCTCAACACGATTTTGCACTTTGAATATGAAGAAGTTGGTGCGTGTATGGTGATATTAGGGCATTGTGTGGCGTGACACTTTTGCATGTACTATCCCTTCTAAGTTTTGCGATTCACAGAGGCCTTTTCGCACAGGGAATTGACGTCAGTGTCATGTTTGGCGGTGGTGGTGGTGGTGGGGGGGGGGGGGGCGCGTCCCGTCAATATATTTCGACCTGGGCTTTGCGTATGTAATGAAAAAGGCTAGGATGTGGCACGGGTGGCCAGACGGGAGCATCCGAAAGCGGTTGCACGGCGCTTGCGCAGGTTTTGATCATACCGTACCTTTGCATGGGAAAACCCCCACTAACTGTGTACCAGGGTGTACATGACTGTGTCCATGACTGTGTTTATTTGTACAACATAGGCAACTGTTGTACAGTGCAAGGTAGATTCGGCGTTTCTGGATCATGTGCAGTGCATGGTGTTTTGCATGCAGCGCTACGAGCACATGACAAAAAAAAACTTGTCATGAGAAAGCGCTTCTTTCCACAATGTTTTGAAGATGATCATGGTGATCAGATTGTAACTTTGTTGACTCGGTGCTCTCCAAGCCCAGATGAAAAGTAAGACTTTTTCGTGATACCTCAGCCACATCCAAAAGAGGCCAAGGTCTTAGCAGCAGAGTCTGAAGGAATGTCTTGCAAAGCGTGTTTGTGGCGATGCAACTGCAATGCTGTGTGTGTGTGTGTGTGTGTGTGTGTGTGTGTGTGTGTGTGTGTGTGTGTGTGTGTGTGTGTGTGTGTGCGTGCGTGTGTGTGTGTGTGTGTGTGTGTCCCATATGGTGCAGTGGTATGTGCAGCGATTTCCAATCAATAGGTTTCGGGTTCGATTCCCAACGATTATGGTCACACACGTCTTTCTTCTCTTTCTCAGACTCTTCCTGACTTTTTTTCATTCTCCTGGGTGGTACTCTTCCTGACTTTTCTTTCATTCTCCTGGGTGGTTACCAACAGCCAGTGCATGCCGGAGTATGTGGTGTGGTGTGTGTGCGGGAAAAAAAAGAAAAAGAAAAAGACCAAGAAAAAAAGACCAAAAATAGGGATTCACTGGTCAGAAAAAGTCACTTCAAATAGCTGTATGGTGTAGACCAGGCTGAATAGTGATGGTCAATTCTTCAGCCTTGCAAGCTGTTGAATGGTGCAATCCCAGCACAAGTTGCTATGGCTTCTGCCGTAGCATTGCTATCATCGCCTCCGGCGATGGGCTCAAAGGTCAAAGGTGTGTGCGTGTGTGCGTGTGTGTGTGTGTATATGACTATATGTGCGCGCATACATGCTTCTCCGTATACATGTGTATAAAAGTTCCATTCGTCCGGCGGTGCTTCTCTGCTTTCTTCCAGGGAACTATTTGGAACGCCTGCAATGCATGTCCATTGACCATCAGAATATCGATTCACTGGACGGTATCGCACAGCTAGCAGCCACTTGTCCCAACTTGCGGGACATCGATATCTCTCACAATCTGTTGACATCATGGACAGAGGTCAGTGGTTCTGTCTGGTTTATATTTGTGCTGGATTACAGTGTGGTTCTTTCGTTCACCTCGTAGTTTTCCTTCAACAGCATATTTGTCCCATGCTCATCTGTCCAATTGCCAACATTTACAGTGGCAGTTATTTGCTAACAACTATATCCACGATTAATCTTGTGATTATTATGACGCTGGAGAAAGCATTCAGCTGCACCTTGGGCAAGTACTGTGCTACTCCTGAAGACTCCAGAGAATGCGAAAACGAGAGAGCTTGGAAGCTCAGGGCCCTACGCTATGCTTTTTGCCTTGATGACCTAGGCAAAAAAAAGCATAGGGATGTTATCAATTTTTCATTTCTCCTTTTTTTTTTAAAGTCATAACCTGGGATTCAAACCCGCACAATCGCCCAGCATGCATCCCCCGATACACTTCGCATACCGTATTATCTCTAATATAAGCACGGTCCTTTATTTTTTCAATGTACCTCCGCCCCGTGCTATTAATGGAGACGTTCCTTTATTGGAGACTGTTCCTTTATTATTTCAACCTCATTTCAGAGGCATGTTGCCATGGCCAAATCCATGTCAGACACACACATTTCAGGGGTTTTTCGCCGGTACAGATAATGAATTTACACAGTGTGCTTATAATGGAGACTGAGCACTTTATTTTTTGAATGCCGCCCCAAATAAAAAAAAATTCACAGTTCGCGTGAGACTCGGCTGGAAACCGGGTTTTCCGCATCCGTAGGAACGCCACCACCCTTCAAGGATCAAGGCGCAGATGTAGCTCCTAAAGCGATGCCGCCCCAAGGTGTTCTATTATTGGAGACGTGCTATTATTGGAGACTGTGCTTATATTAGAGATAATACGGTACATACTTATTCTTCCAAGTTGCTTCACGTTATGATCTTGCATTTGAAAGCCCTATTTGAATATCGTGGCCAGCTGTTTGTGGCCAGCCGTCTTTGATGGTACGGTACGGTACGGGACAGATACGGTCGAGGGTAATACGACACCGTCTACCGCCTTGATGACCTAGGCAAAAAAAGCATAGGGATGTTATAATTTTTTCAATTCTCCTATTTTTTTAGGCATAACCTGGGATTCGAACCCGCGCTATCGCCCTACATGCATTCCCCAATACACTTCGCATTCATACTCATTCTTCCAAGTTGCTTCACGTTATGATCTTGCATTTGAAAGCCCTATTTGAATATTGTGGCCAGCTGTGTTTGATGGGACGGTACGGTACGGGACAGATACGGGATAGCGCCAGGCGTGACACAAACAAACAACAAACAAACACCAAATTAAAGCTGTGTGGACCCTGGCTAGCGCCAGACGTTACTGAAGTAACGTCTTCTGCATAGCTACGGGAATAAAGTTGTAGAGTTAGAGTACATTGGCAGTGTGTGCTCAGTTCATGTACCATGATGCCATTGTACGTGTATTTAAATATGTGTATGCGCTTTAACTGACTTTTGGGAGCGATCTTTGTTTATCTCGAATTCATTTGATATTGTTCTGAATGATACAGGTGTTTCTATATTTTAAATAACTTTTCGGAATGTCTCGGGTCGGTGCTCGTTTTCTTCTTGTCATGCCTTTTTTTAAGCGCTTTGTTCACTTGTTTCTTGCTGCAGGTTTTCTCGCTGCTTGCAGCTTTCCCCAGGCTGCGCCAGCTCAATGTCTCTTTCAATCCATTCGCTAAGCCTGCGGATAGTGCAGCTCCCGGTGGTGATGCTATGTCTGAAATTACTCCCGCTGCTCCCGCTGCTGCTGCTGTGGAGCACACTGGCTTGAAGACACTGATCGTGAATGGAACGTTTTGCCCTTGGACGCTTGTTCATACGTTTCTATCGCAGTGTACCAGGTAGGGAATGTCAACAGTTGACTGTCACAAATATGTCTCCGGCCGGTACTTTAACATTTTTTTATGACTATCACTGGTCTGTGTGACACCACCGTGTAACCTCGAACGCATTTGCACAACATTTTGTGCTCCCTTGTGTTCTATCCTGCTTTCTATTTTTCTCTTGTTTAAAAAAATTATTCTGGGCCTGGAGCACGCTGTCTTTGTCTGCTTTGGCCATCTGCACGCATTAACTTAGCGTTTAGGTGAATTGTGAACATGCCCATTGTCAACTGCATAGTTCGTCATTATGGACACTCTCACCAACAAGTGGTAATGTGACTACAACTACTACAGTGTGTGTTCTGTGGTGGACACCAGAGCACACTGATTCAGGAAACCCGGACAGCCATGTTTACTTTGATTTGCCAAATTTCTGCCTTTGCAGTGTCGAAGAGCTACATCTGAGTTGCAATGAGTATAATCAGATAGAGCTGCCCGAGAGGTGCCACGACAAGCTGAAGCGCCTGCATTTCAACAACAACGCGGTGGTGTCTTGGCAGAACCTGGAACGCGTGGGTGCTGTGTTCCCAGCCCTCCTCATGCTGGTAGCACGAGCCAATCCGCTCACTGTACCCGTGGCTGAGTCACCAGCAAGTGCAGGTCAGTCGCCTTCTCTTCTGTGTATGCATTCTTGAATCAGTGGCTACTGGGAACATTATGGCTGTTCGATGACCAATTCCGCGGTATCACCAAAGCGATGTTCTCCTTCTGTCGTGATGAAATTTATAATTGGCCAAGAGAAACACTTTGCTGAGTCCTATCAAATACAAACTTACATGTTTTACGGGCTACAGATACTACATGTACATGTACATGGAGTACATGCATCAGACTATCAGTACACATAGTGTACATGTAGTAGGCTATCCTCCAGCGGCCCGTCTGTTTGGGATGACAGGAGGTACCTTACCATGTTAAATCGTGCTGTGACGTCGCCATGTTCGATGTCCATTGCGTTGTTACTCTCGCTGCTAGATGACGAAAACACCGAGGCTGCAGCCGATGAGCTTCACCTAGCCCAAGTGCCATTCATTGTCCTGTCGGAAACCAAGATCAGCACGGTGGATGAGCTACGCGGCTTGGCTCACCGCTGCCCTGGACTCAAGCAGTTGCGCTTGCAGAGTGTACCACTATTTGATGACTGGCCAGAAGAACTACATCGTGGCGGTATTATAGCCTGCCTGCCACAGTTGACACATCTGAACGGGAGCAGCATTGATGATGACGAACGGGAGAAAGCTGAAAGAGCATTCATTCGTCACTACACCAATGCACCAAACTTGCTGGTGGGTGACGCAAAGGAGGTGGCTGAGTCGCTTGTAGAGAAGCATGGGAATCTTCTCCCTCTTGCTGAAGTCAACCTTGGACCACCTAAAGGCAACATTACATTAAATGTCCGCTGGGATACCAAGGTCCACCCACGCTCAAACCCAGATGTGCACACGATGAAGTTGCCACTTACAACTTCATTTGCAGCGTTCCAGGAAAAGGTCGCAAAAAGGTTCGAAATTGACCCGCGGAAGGTATTCCGCTTGAAGTTTTTCCACTATGATGACGAGTGCGGCGTGAACGTGCTCCAGCGAATTGCCACCCCAGGAGTGCGCTCCCTGTATGACAGTGACCTTGCAGATGGAGACGAGATCTTTCTGCGCCTCTAGCTGTGGCATTGACAACTTGCTATACTCAGTAGTCCCACTAGTATTGTTGAACTAAGGCAGGCACTCGACATTATTACGGCGCTGGTGCCGGTGCTGTATTTACTGAAGCATCTAAACTTGTTACAGCTTCGCTTTACATTACATTGTAGGGTATATCTCAGCACCCCTGTCGCCAGCCGGCCGGGTACCGTGTACACTAGTGAAAGTTAGCTCTCTGGTTTGAGTACTGTCACGCACATTATTTTCACGCACATTATTTTATTTTATTTTTAATAGGTGTCCTAGCCAGCTAGAAGGACACAGTGCTACCAGGTTTGTATTTGAAGAACGTTCACACTTTACGTGCAATTTACAAGTAGTTTTTTCAAAGGTTTTACAAAATTAATATTCTCTGGGCTATATGCTTCATACAGTAAACAGCTTGCTAGTCCTTGCGTACGTCTCACGGCTGGTTTCCGCGCTCATACTTTGACAATGCTTTCCTAAATTCTTCAGGATTTTCATGTCCTCTTTCCCTATACCTTTCGTTACCCAGTGTCCAATACTTTTTAGCATTCGTCAGGCTTGATACGTTTTCTTTTGTCCTTTGAAACTTTAAAACTGAGAATTATAAGCTCATGCCCAAGAGGTGGCATTCATGAAAACTCCTCGCTTCATTGCTGAATCATGCGCTTATACAAACCCCTTTTTTGTTCTTCGTTTCATAGCAATTGTTTTACTCCGCCCTACAAGGCTCTATGATCATCATGTGTGTATATTTTTAGTCTGAGGAAACCGATGCCAAGTAGGGGTACCAATAGCTGTGCCACTGCACCAAGCTGACATCCATGCATAGCTTTTTGCTTTCGATGCACCGGTACCAGTGGTAGCATGGGATTGTTTTATGAGCCTGCAATGACATCACTTGTCTGCATGCACATGTAATGCCATTGTGATGTCATCCTTGCACGGACGAAATTGGTGCTTTGTGATTCTAAAACAATCAGGCAAGCGCACCCTTCTTTGTAGCAGGTCTTGAAAGGAAACCACATGCTACCATTGATGCTGCTTTTATACTGTATGTGACAGGAAGTCCTGCTCAATGATTGCTGACCCCATGAGTAAGTTCTTGCCGTGCACCAGTGCATGCTTGTCCCATGTTGCCAGGTCTCAGGTTGTGCACTACCCAACACTGTAGTCACTCGGACTCAATCAAGACCGTCGCCGGGGGGGGGGGGGGGGGGGGTACTTTTGAGTGGTGCGGTCAGTCAACCATGGTCAACACAGTCACATCCTGCAACAAAGTGCCTGAGCCCAAAGCCAAACTTATACCAAGTCTTCATTTTGAAGTGCAGACTGTGTCTTGAGTCTTGACATTATCATCTACTCTTAGGTACTGTAAAAGCAGAAATTTCCGGTGGTGTTTTATTTTCGGTAACTTCGGCGCCGACAACTTTTACCGAAAATGTCGGTACTACCAGTGCTGCATACATTTGTAGTACTATTACACGTACCTGAAAAACGGGTTTTACCGAAAATTTCCCTCCACCGAACCGCTGATTTTGGAGAATATACCGAAAATATTACACCACCGAAAATTTCTGCTTTTACAGTACTGTATAAGTAGAAATTTTCGTTTGGAATTAACTTTCGCTATATTCGTTAGGGGGCGCGAAATAACTAAAGATTGTACCGAACTAATGTTTTTGTCTGAACGTTAGTGGTGACAGACCTCGGCCAAAAACGAAATTTAGTACGTAACAACTGAAGTACGTAACAAGCCGGCTGGTGGAGTGAAATAACGAAAGATTTCGTGAACGGAAATTTGTACTTATACAGTAGATGATAGTCCTCATCCAGTAGGCCATGCTTTCTAGGCGCGTGACAGCTCCAGCTTGATACCTTGTTCCTTTTTCTTTTGTCATTTTGAAGCTTTGAGGTGGCATTCATGAAAGCTCCTTGCTTTATTGCTAACCTCATCACAGTAGAGCCTAGCTCGGAGAGGATGCCATGGTGCGACTTCGAGTACAGGATCATTAGGCAATTGATGGCTCCAAATCAGACAGCCTGTATATGGGGGGGGGGGAGGAGGCAGGGCCGTAGAACCAGGATCATTTCAGGCTGTCCGGCCAAATGGGATGCTTGACCAAAGTGAGCATCATGCAGCTGTAGCAAGATGAATGAATTCCAAGATTGCAATTTCCGCCGCAGTGTCCTGCATGGTTGAGTGTGTGTGATGATTCCGCCATTTTTCTGTGCTGTGTCCGGCTATTGATGTCAAGCAGTTGAAGCTTCTGGAAGCTGTTTGCATTCTGTTGTATCAGTACTGGGTATGGGGATAGAGGCCGATCACCCTGGTCAGGCTTTCTCTGCATTATTATCACAAGCACCACATGATTACAGTCATCCATTACGTTTCTCAGTCCCATAATGAAAAATTGAAAATTAATATATTCAACAGAATTGCGTTTTCATTCCTAGAAAATAATACAGAGATGGGGCAGGTAAAACGCATGCAAGGTTGAAGCATATTCTAACTATACTAGTACGTGCTGAATTCGGATCGATAAAGTATGGTAGAGGCGGCGCATGTGCCATAATTGTGCTCTGGTCGCGGAATCAGGAAATAAATACGTAGCACAGTGAGACTATAATCATGGTGTGGGGAAGTTAAAATGATAGTTCTGCATGGTAGTTCCCTAACCATTTCAAGTAGCTGAATAATGTCACTGAGAACAGCTAACGAGCTCATGTTTGTGATTTTTGTGGTATAAAAACTTTTTTTCGTTGAAGCCTACGCTAACTCCAAATAAATCTTCTCCGGGCTGAAATTCTCGCAGGTCTGAATACTTTCGTATGAAATGTAAACAATAATTTTAATCTGGGCAACAGCCAGTCTAGCAGCAATGAAAAATATCGGAATTTTTGAGCCAAAGTTAAAATTTTCTTTCTTTCAGCACTTTGAAACGGCCTCTTGAAATCACTAAGCCGACATGAGGCGCTTTCATGGAATATAGCAGTAAGTTTGTACATGAAGGGCAGCAGCATTCGGTAAGGTATTTCATGAAGAATTCCTATGGTGGACCGTGGTGCTGATAAATCAGATAAGTAGTCGTTCCATTCAACCAACTAAGATCAGGTGAGGTCTATTGGTCGCCGTTTCATTCTAGTGTCATGCAGAGGCAACACACTGCTACAAAGCTGACACTCTTGATACACAAATGATGTGGCCTTGTGCTTGTTGTGGAGTGCCCAGTGTAATTCGCAAGCATGGATGTGTCATCCATCGGCAGTGCTTCCGTGAGGCATTGAGTTGTGATAGAAAGCAGGATAATTGTTGCGTCACTGCTGCAGATTTCCATATGGACGGGACGCAGCTGGAGTAAGGTTTTCACAATGCACTATCAATCCATAGACGAACAGTCGTTGCTCTGGGTGATGAGTTGATGAAAACCAGCATGGCGCCGATCTGTTTACGATGTAAACGAGCTCTTCTCGCACATGTGCTACAACGGTAGCTGTGAGACACCGGATGGCATTGTGGACAGTGCATCTCTGCACTGCCATCTCAGCTACGTAGTCGTTAGAGCTCAACGGGCATAGTCATACTGAGCTGTATGGGTAGTGTCGCAATGAGCAGCTCTCCAAAGGAACTGCTGCTCCGGTCGATCGTATCCGGTGTTAGCGTTGCTGTTAGATTCGCATAGTCTTGAGGAGTCTGGCCAAGGCTCTGGGGGCATGTACCGACAAGTAAGGGTCCTTTCCCCTACGTCAGATTGTGCGCTTCAAACGCACAGTAGTATCCCCGGTGCAGTGCTATTGGTGGTCCAGTGTATACATATCTATTATTACCCATCATTGCTCTAGCAATGCAGACGTTGTTACGTACTAACATCGCCTGCCCTGGCGGCTCGCCGTCATCATTGCTTGCCACCTCGCGCTCCACGTAACACTGCAAGAAGCCAGTAAGAAAGAACGTCATGAAAGCTGAGTCATCAGACGTGCACACATACCATTACATTTTTACAGAATATCGGAGGTGGTAGCCATCCAGAAAAGGCCAGTGTTTGAAAGACCGAAGCTAATGTGGATAGGCAAATCCCATTTTCGCGCAAAGTGGTCATTGGCTACCCCAGCCATGTATTGCTTGGAATAAAACTAAAACTAAATTTGTTTATATGTGGCAATACTTCTTAGGAGAAGTCTATGATAACGAAAACTAGTAATTATATCAACATCAGCATCCATGTGTGTGTGTGGGGGGGGGGGGGGGGGCGAGAAAAAGAGAAAATTAATAACAGTGTTGTTACAAGGCACTAGTAGTTACGGATGGTACCTTATAAAACGAAGTAGTGAGACAACTAACTGTCACCACTACTTCCTCCAGAAAGAAATACAGTGTCGTGACTTTGATTGGCCTAACAGTTCTGGAGCTCTGGGGTATTGAGCGATGATAACTCCAAGTGAGACTCAAATGGTGCCAATTTATTTTGCATAATAATACCCTCAACTAATAATGAACATTATAAATATTACGGGTGAAACGAGTTAACTATTAACCCTTTACTGTCCGCACATACAAGCTTTAATAAGCTATCGAGCGAGCGCTCGTACATGATAACACTAAATGAGGTCAAGTTTGGCTGCTCCTTCTTCGCGTGGCTTGTACCTGACCCAGTGACCTTAGATGAATGATTTGATGCCAAGTGGTAATGAAGATTGGTTGTTCAACCACCATGGCCTATATCAAAATACAGGCCATGTCATAATAAAACCTGTACTGCTGCAAGAATGTCCAAAGCGAAAGCCATGTACTTCCTCCAGAAAGAGAGAAAACACACTCCAAATGGCTGGAAGCAATCTGCATGTGCACAAGCACCATTCAGGTCACGATTACCCAGCTACGCATGCTGTTTGCCAGGTTTGGATGCCCACAGGAGGTCGTGAGCGACAACGGCCCACAGTTTTCTGCAACGGAGTTCCAAGAGTTCCTGCAAAGAAATGGTGTCACGCACCACAGAGCTGCTCCATATCATCCTACCATAAATGGCCAAGCAGAACGGTTTGTGCAAGCCTTCAGGTGTGCCGACAATGCCGCTACTGCTGCTACCCCAGCACAAGAGGCAGCTGACAGATTCCTGCTCACCTAGCGGAACTGTCCACATCCAACGGCCGCCGAGCCCCGGCAAAGCTCCTCTTGGGTCGTCCCCTCCGTAACGTTACTCGACTCGACCTTCTCCATCCCGATCGTCTGGGCCACGTCAAGAGCCAACAGGATCGCCAAGCCGCCGGTAGCTCAAAACACCCGTGTCGTCCTTCCAGCCTGGTGAAGTCGTCAAAGTTCGTGATTACCGCAACTAGAACCATCCCAGTTGGCTCCCTGGGAAAGTCTTGTCAGTGGAAGGCCCGCTGTCCTATCTAGTGGAGACAAAGGAAGGTGCTACGTGGAAATGGCACATTGATCAGCTGCGCCCTGGACATCCAACTTTCCTGACTACCAAGGGAGGGAAAGATGTAATCATCGTCGAGACACCTAATCCAGTGGACCAACCAGTCAGCAGTGCAGAAGCAGCAAACGCTTTGGCTGAGGAAGCCAGACTCGTAGGCCACGGCAGCAGTGATCGTTCCACCAGCTATGCCTGCAACCACTCAGTCTGTCGCACCACCCTGGCGTTCGTCCCGTGTGCCCAAGCCAGTGGATCATATGAATTTGTGATGAGTTACTCGAGCACACTAGTTGTTATTTCTGTGTAGTCTTTTGTACACCGATTGTATTCTGTGGTGTACAGGATCAGTAGAGTCAGAAAATGTGTACATTATGCCAAGGCCATTTGCGCAAAAGTCGTCAATTGTTCGTCTCCTTGCCAATGATACTGACCTTGTTGAAAAGTTCTAAAAGCAAGCTCGGAACCCCAATTACCGAGGAGAGAGTTTAGAGTAAAGCTTATGACTAAGTAAGAGCTGCATAAGAGCTATACACCTGAGCAATCAATACTCTATAGTGAAGAACAGGACCAAGGAACAACAAGTTACGCTAAAATGTCCACTAACACCTTGGTCCCTTTCTTCTTCTCCTTTTCTTCACTATAAATTTATCCCTGGCTCTACATCTGAATAAACACCCTGATCATCGTAGACTAAAACAAAACTGTGAACAGGAAATAGTTGCACCGAACTTACGGTATACACTGCCTTTTTCGACATCACAACAGTACCTCCTTGGTGATTGGTAGCATAGACTCGGAACACTGCATCGCACACCGTCTGCTTCAGTGCACCTGCAGCAAATCACACATGGATGTGCGTGCCAATCATCCCCAGAACATCCGTGCTCTCCTCGATGCAAGATAGATTCAGACAATTATTAATATCGCAGTCCTGAACATTTCTTTTAAGGTGCGCAAGCTCCACTGCAGCCATTTCATTACATGGAAAACCCAACACACACCGTCCTCAAAGCAAGTGGTCTCTTTGCTGCAAATTACTATTTTCTCAATGGAATTGTTGGCAAGTACAGTACGTCAGTATCAGCAAGTACAGTCATGTAGTACAATTTGTTCCCAAAATAACTTCGGGACAGTCTGTTCATGGTTTTCATTTTTTATTGGACTCGTTCTCTACACTTGCGATAATTTAGCGGCAATTCTAACGTTGTAGCGTTGTTCTCTTGTAATTTAGTGGAACCTGTATTGAGTAACTGAGTTTTATGTTTCGTTACATTGTCGTCAGATCTCCTGTGTACCGGTTTTGTGGCACAGTGATTATAGCCATTATATTTGGTCGTCTCCATTCTTGTGCAATCATGCATATGTACATGTAGGTTGGTTCTCTTCATGTTATTGTGACCAATTTCATAGATGTTGGTTGCCTTGTTGCTTTTCTCCCCTCTCCTCTCACCCAAGCCATTCTGCATAAGCGAAGCTGTGGACGCAGCATACTGCTGCTACACTTCAACGCGGGAATGCGTATAATAATAATAATAATAATTGTTGGCCAGGAGCCACCATCAGTCCTGTCCTGAACATGTTTCCAGTCATGTTGAGTTCGTAGTCCATCTTCAAAGTCCATCCTTCAGTCATTTGCCGCAGCAAAAGCCGTACGCTGTGGAACATATACTTCGAAGTATTTGTTGAAGTGCGCCGATATCTTCAGGCTGAACATTGTGTGGCATGCACGCTGCTTAATGTTGTTGTTATGACATATTAACTTACCGACTCCGGGAAATAGTGACGCCGAGCCGAGACACAGCGTGTGCTTCAACCCCCCGCCATCTAGGTCTCCTAGTTTGCATTGAAGGCTGCCTTTGAATGCAACATCTTCCAGGACGCGTTCTGAATGAGATAACGCAGTGCTCAGTTTGTCCAAGACAATTGTTAACTTGCGCACCTGCGGCAAAACAACAAAACAGACCCAACAAGATAGATGAACATTTTTCAATTAAAATATCCACAAGTGGGGCTTCGAAGTGTGACGTCAGGTCCTTGACAATATCGTAGCAACTGGGTACGCACGGGCCCAAACAACCATTGCATCCCCCAGCACGTGGTGTTTCGCACTGAAAATTGCAAATTTTACATAATGGCTTGCCCAGATTAGAGCAGATGCCTCACACGAAGTACCCGATATCCTTTTATTGTCCTTTCGGGACACGAGTTTGCTAGCTTTGTCCTCCTTTCTGCGGGGCACAGTAGAGCAGTGACTTGCATGAAATTAAAATTACAAATCGGGGTGGGAATGCGGCACTTTGTATTGCCTTTCCCGAGGAGCATGGAGATCAATCCGCACGCCGTGCATTCAGGTAAAGTTTTCTTTCGCTGACTGTGAGAGGTGATTCTTTGCGCCGTATCCTTTATCGTGACTCCGGACATCTGAATTTGCTCTCTTCACGAGACGGAAAGTTGCTGAAGCCAGCGAGAAATTGATCTCTGCTCAGAACTCTGAAATATTTCCGCAAGCTCGTCGCAGACCCTTTGTTTCGTCTTTGAAGTCCTGGGAAGACCAGCCATTGCTCCATCAGCTTAGCAAACTTCTAAGTATCAGCAAGGGGCACCTCAGTACATGTAGAAAAGCTGTTTTTTCCAGCAAACCATTGATTCCCATCAGCAGAAACCTGCATATTAGTACATGTACTGCAAAACAGTGAAGAGCAAGGGGACGCTAACGTTTGTTTGTACCGAAAAATCTCGTAGGCATGCGTTGTCCAGTATGTGTGACGTCATCACTTCGAAGCCCCATAACGCGGAGAAAACGTTTCTGTCAAAACGAATTAGGTCCCGGTTGCTATCGAAAAATGCCTTCTTGTTTTCAGCCGTCGTATTTCACCTCCAAAACGAGGCGAGACTCAGCACTGGCTCCGGATTCATTATCACACTAGCAAACCTACAGAAAGTACTTCCAGTGCCATAGCCAGGGGATGCCTTGGATACCCAATATCCGTATTGCAAAGACGTTTCCTAGCTATCAGTTCGAATAACACGCATGATGACCTAGTTAAAAACAAAGCATAGTGGAGGCCCTGAGCTGGCAGCTCGCTCGTTATCTATCTACGTCTACCCGCCATGCAAAGTCCGAAGTTCCGCAGTGGTTGTGGATCATACTCACATCTGCGTTCGCAATCCTGTACTTGTGCCGACTCAGCAGGACACACATTGGCCCACACTCCGGCTCATCCTCGATCCAGGACATGTAGAACAGTGCCACGGTGTCTCTTGTGTTCACGGCGACCTTCATGACAATCTCGCGGGGAGGCCATGGGACTGCGGCTGCTGCCGCCCCCTCGACACCGTGGTGTTCTTCGGCCATGGCAGATAAGTGGCCTAAAGTAAGCAAAGAAAGTGCACAAAGATCAGTTGGTTCGGATTCCTCCAAATAGCTTTACAGGATTTGGTGAAAACGGTGAAAACACGCACCTGAGTAAGTCTCCGTCAATCTACTCTCAGGTTCAGCTTTGGCATGTAAACAGTGGTAAGAGACTACTTCATTCCCCAAGCTATGCAAAAAACGGTACCTTAGTAGCGCCTGGGGTAGCCAGGGTCCACACAGCTTTATTTCGTATCTGTGTGTGTGTGTGTGTGTGTGTGTGTGTGTGTGTGTGTGTGTGTGTGCCAGCTAGTCCGGTTGGTGGGTACACACATGCCAGATAGTGTTGGGTCTGTCGCCAACAGGCTCAGCTGCTTGAAGGTGTATCATATCTGCCACCTTTGTTGGTTTCAGGGTTCATATACTTTCTATTTGAAGTATATATACCTGTTGACCATGGACTGCTTTTGGCTAGATTGACTCTTGTGTAATCACTGGTGCTAGTGAAGCTGATGTCAGATCCACTCTGATTTAGCCACCCACACTAGTACCAAGTATTACCCTCACTGGGGGCAGGGGTAACTGCAGTTGGATCCCGGGACGGATACCCTGATGCCGTCAATCCTTTTTCTGCACCTTGTCCTCACCCACTTACTGAGGTGTAGTGAGCCCGTAAGTGGGATCATTTGCAAGTCCACTCATAGTTCGGGAATTTCAGGGGGCGTCGGCCGTTGGGCGGTGCAATAGCCAATTGAGTCCTCCTTCCAAGATTCCTTTTGAGTTCCTCTCTCCCCTCTCCCGGGGGAGACCCACGTGACCATTTTTGGCAGTGAGCAAGTACAGTACAGTACAGTACAGTGTGTGTGTGTTGATGTACTCTGTGTGGTGTGGACCAGGTGTGCATTGGTGGTCGATTCACATGGCTTCGCCAGTTGTGTGGATTAGACAGTTATCTGGCGCAAGTCTTGATCTGTCTCATTCAGGTCTTGTTGCTATAAGAGAAAATCTGTGGGTGCACATCCAGTGCACTTGCAGATTTGCGTGCTTCTCTTGTGACGGGTGTATACATGGTACATGGTGTGTGTGTGTGTGTGCGCGTGTGTGTGTGCGCGCGTGCGTGTGTGTGTGTAACTCTTGTGTTATCAATGGTGCTAGTGAAGCTTATATCAGGTCCACTCTGATTTAGCCACCCACACCAGTAGCAAGTATTACCCTCACTGGGGGCAGGGTCTAGTGTATGCAGTTGGATCCCGGGACGGATACCTTGATTCTGTCAATCCCTTTTCTGCACCTTGTCCTCGCCCACTTACTGAGGTGTGGTGAGCCCATAAGTGGGATCACTTCTAAGTCCACCCATAGCTTGGGGATTTCAGGGGGTGTCAGCCGTTGGGCGGTTCAATAGCAAATTGTGTGTGCGTGTGTTTGTTTCTGGCGTCGGGCATGCCTGGCGCTATCCCGTACATGTCCTGTACGGCACCATCAAAGACAGCTGGCCACCACATTCAAATAGGGCTTTCAACTGCACCATCATAACGTGAAGCAATTTGGAAGAATGTGTATGTGTGCGAAGTGTACCGAGGGAATGCATGCAGGGCAATAGTGCTGGTTAGAATCCCATGTGATGTGTTGAAAAGAAATAGGAAAATGAGAAATTTATAAGCCAGCACCAAAGCCAGCACCATAGGCTGAGCATAGGGAATATAATAACTAGCCTGTTTGAATGTACCTGTCTAGGAGTTGAAAGTTTTTTTTTATACGATTATCGGGCACATTTTTCTGTAACTATTCCAAAGACGTTTCTATCAGTTTGAACAACACACATGACGACCTAGGTAAAAACAAAGCATAGCGAGAGCTCCTTGGCTTTTAAGCCCTCTCGTTGCAGTGCATGTACACCGAGGGCCGGGGGATTTTGCTCCAGAGTTTTTTCCTTCCTTTTTCGAGCTTGCAGTCCATTCATAAAAAGATGGACTTCTAGCCTTTGGCCATAAATGGGTCAAACTTTGATTTTTCCTGCAATCTCCTATGGAATATTCTTCCAATAAATGTTCCTGAAGTCTATTTCTCCTAATAGCAACAAAAACAGGAGTTCGGCCATATTTTGTCCCAACAGCACTGAATCAGGAAAAAGCCACGGAATCCAAACCGTTTCACTCCACTTGCAGCAGTAATATTGTGCAGTTCGAAACCCAGTTGAGGCCTTTTTGGAAATTGTCAAATTTCAAATTTCGCGGTTCTGCACCGAGTATGATAAAAATCACCAAAAGGCGGGAGCTCGCCAGAGCCAGAGTCCACCTTTTTATGAATGAACTGCAATGATCTGTTTCTCCACCTTCCAAGTTTAAAGTTGAGTCCCAAAGTGAGTTGTAACACTACTCCATTCCAGAATGACATGAAACGGTCACCGGACAGTCACCAGTAGTAAACTTCTATTTCCGCTGCCACATGCCCATCGCTGACGCGCTGATAACGAACAAGCTACGTTAGACATACACTGTGGATACTTGTGCTGGGATTACACCATTCAACAGCTTGCAAGGCTGATGAATTGACCGCCACTAATTTTAGCCTAGTCCAGTATACAGGTGGAATCCTGACAATTCGAACCCCAAAATGCCAGGGGAAAACTTTTCCAATAATCCGGACATTCCAATTGTCCGAATATGTACCCACATCACATTTTGTATGTCAAAATGCTCGCATTGATACGCAGAATTGCACTACGCAACTTAGACACAGATTTAGTGGACACTGAACTGCCTGCGCATGAAACCATACCGTAAAATAAAGTGAACTTTGAATTATGCTTGCTAACTTCGAATTATCAGCACAAATCCCACACATTTTCAATGTACTTCAAGTAAGCGGATCATGATTCCGTGCTACTTCTAATTAACCGGACATACCCAGTTCGAGGTTCAATTTATCAGAAATTGTTACTTGGAAATGGTGCTGATAGAAATCAGTTCTGGAAGAGACTTCTAATTAAACAGTATGTTCTAATTAAGCCACATTCGAATTATCAGGATTCCACCTGTAATACCAGTGCAAACAGCCTTGTCGCCACACGGGTCCAACTATTATTTTGCTGGCTGGCAGTTCTGTTCCAACTGCGCGGCAAAGTACACTGGGAATATTGTCACTGTACAGTCCAACTTTGCACCAGTCGCCACCACTAGCTTGGTGAAGCCACAACTGCCACAATAGACCCTATGCCGGTTAGTACTAGCTGTACAGATCCACGAAATCCCGTAGAATCCCGTAGACCCGGTTGGGTGTTCATTGTGTGCTATGCATGCGCATTTGACCTCTTAGCCTCATAATTTATTGGCAAGCAATCGCTTTTCCAGCTTCTTCACTTTGGTTAGAACTAATGACTAGCTAGATCTTTGTCAGAAAAAGGATTTCGTATGAAATTCCTTCAGGGCCCATTTCTTAGTGGAAATAGCAGAAAACACAATAGGGTCCTGCACATTCAACACCCACTGTGACCGGGTCTACGGGATTTCCTGGATCTGTACAACTTGTACTAACCGGCATAAGCCTTATCCACGTATCACCAGACATATCCTGGACCAGTAGTGGACGAATCCCTACCCACTCTGTCCTGTACAAACGTGTGCCACGTGATGCGTTGACATCCAGTGCAAACGCCGTCAATCCCTGGTCCAAGGAGAATTGCAAAAATGACGTCAATCTGAAATTTTGCCGGGAGAGCACTGTGTGCATGTGCGGGAGCTGCATACTCTTGGTGGCTATGTGCTCTTGGTAATAACTAGAGGCACAGTGGCAGCCTGGCTGGTCACATGAAATGATGCGCATTTTTATTTATTTTTATTCTTTAAAACATGCATGGTCATGCACAAGAACTTTGTTTAGAAAACAGGATAATTGTTGCGTCACTGCTGCAAATTTCCCTATGGAGGGGGCGCAGCTTGAGTAGGGTTTCAGCTTGCATGTAGTCGCAGGCGATTTTCCGATTGCAAGCCGTTTCTATGGGAAGGAAACCAGGGAGTCAGCTTCTGTTAGCAACGGGAACTGCCGGCACAGTATTTTGAGAGCTTTCTGATTCGGCATGCACTCTCCTTAGGAAATATCCGGTCCTGAAGATTTCCCCAGTGGGGATTCAGACGCGTTTTGAAGGGCAGCAGAGTACGGTTATCAGAGATAATTTCTGTAAATTTAAGGAATTTCTAAAGTTGACAAAACTCCCACAAACCGTTGTAAAATACGAGTTCACGATCAATAGGTTTTGGTGGTAGGTGTTCGTATAAGCTACCCATTTTAATTGAAGTCTGCCTGATGCAGCGATGGGTGATGGTTTACAACTTTTTGCCACTTTCGATCCAAGATCCATGGTACCGGCTTTGCGAGCATTTCGACCATCACTAAGGAAAGCACTCGCCATGCATGTTGTGTGGCAGATTGAAGGGATGGCAAGCGAAACGTGAAAGATGCATACAAACTGACAGTCTTCTAGACTCAAAAGAACTGAGTCAAGGATACGTACGCGTGTAACCGATAATCGAATCGTTCAAGCCTGAATGGTTGCAAACCGATAGATTGTAATCCTTCCACCTCAAATAAACTCACTAGTCCATTTATAAAAGATAGGCCCTGGCTCCGGCAACCTCTCGTTTTCGTACACAGTGCAATCCTGCAAAATTTGAAATTAGAAAAAGGGTAGAGGCGACGGTTTCAAATAGGACAGAGGTTGCAAACCGGAACGGTCTCAATATTCACTTTCTCTCTTGGTATTTTGATTAGAAAACATTATGTCATAGTGAGACTACGATGTGTTATACTCCGAGCCAAAATTTCATGGCTCTGCGATGACCAGAAGCGCCATACCAAGCAGGTGAGTTTTTGACGTGTTGCTTCACACTGCGCCTTGAGTTTTACGACTTTCGAAAAATCAACTTCTTGTCGCAGGTAAACAGCGGCTCGCCTCTCGCCAATAAAGCACCGCATACCAATCAAAACTAATGGAAGCACACACAAGGCTTATTGTTACTCTGTACTGGCCGTCGTGGAGCGATAGCAATTACCTAATTTCAGACCCAGAGTGAATTTGACGTGCACTCTAAAACGTGTCCGGTTTGGAGCCACCTCTGATTTGAACTTTTTTGAAGCGAAAAAATTGGGCAACTTGGAGGCAATGGGTCAACACAAAGCAGTGGCTCAGTTCGATTGACTCTGGCCCCAGAGCAAACTTCAACATGCCAGTTTCCTTCCACAGACATATTTCGAGTGAAAAATCAACGCTGATGATCGGTTTGGGTCGATACAAATTTGGCTGTCAAGGCGTTCCGGTATCGAACCGTCTACTCTACCCGAACTGGGGTTCGAACCGCACAGTGCACTGCTGCAGGCGGGGTCAAACAGCCTGGATTTGGATGGTTTTTCCAAATTCAGTCGCGGCTTTTGGGGCAAAACCTGGTCGAAATCATATTCTTGGTAGGGCTTGCTTTTTGGAGAAATAGGCTTCAGAAACATAATCGGAAGAGGATTGATTCCATAGGGGATTGCAGAAAAAAATTCTAAAGAAGCTCAAAGTTTGACCCAGTTATGGCAAAAAGCTAGAAGTCCATCGTTTTATGAATGGACTGTAGCATGGGAGAGACAGTCACCTCCTGGCCATAGCTTTTTCCTTCTGCTCTGACTGCATCTACTCACTCTCCTGTAGTGTACTGCCTACGCCAGGAGCCATACATGAGGCTGCAGAAGGTGCATCGTTTATGCTCGTCACGCGATGTAGCATAGCCCAGTGCTGCAGAATTGTCCGATTTATTGGACACTGCCCGAAAGCCAATTCGATCAGGATAAAGAACCATTCCGATTTCGACAGAAATGTCCAGAAAACCCAAATATTGTATACTTTGCGTGTGCGTGACTGAATGGCACCAGTAAAGTCGAATACATTCACATCACCCTACCACAAGAAGAAAAATGGACCATTACTTTTATTGGCCATCTGGGAAAGGTCACGGACTCACGGTCCGAGTTTGGGTGAAAAACGCTTGGCTGACTACGCGTGTTGATGGCTCTCCCCTCATCCTAGCCCATGCTGTGAGAGGGTTAATATTAAGCCAATATAATAATTATAATTGGTATGGCAACTAGCTATCCGACACAACGCGGTACGCGAGTACGGAGTACATGTAAATAGAAGAGTGCCTCCGCTTCAAACTAACCCGACTAGCCGCTCCGCAAATGCATGAGCACAAGCTAGCGAAGGTGATCACTGGTATCAAAACAACATGCCGCAGAACTGGCACACCGCACACACACGCACACACTCGCATAGTTGGCGGTATTTCCCAAGCTAAGACAGACACACCTACACAGTCACTGGTCAGTGTTGTTACTGACATTTTTGAGAAGTTTGCAATTAGTTATCATCAATCTCACCTGTCGTGTTTAGGGAGAGCAGAAAACATCCAGCGAGCGGGACCAAGGAACACTAAAATGAAGGAGAGATTTCAGTCGACCACTAATAAACTGTTTCTACAAATTCTAGCAAGTACGCCGTGCAACTGTTTACCATGGTTTACCATTGGCTTTATTTAAAAAAATTAATGATGACGGACAAACGGACTCAAAGAAAATTATCCCCTGGCTTGGTAAGATAAGTGGTATGATGCAACTAACACATCACGACTACTGCCTTTGCGCGGGACAGTTGGAACCAGGGAGTACATCTGGTACTGGTAGATCTACATGATGTAGATTTTACACGGTAGATCTACACCGACTCATGGTAATGAGTTCTGGCCAGAGAAATCAAACCTGATGTCAGAATATTTACGCCGCGCTCTGATGCACAGTAGGTCTACCATTCTGTACCAGGTCTACAGACTCGTCAGATGCAGAGTCAGGCTCAGACTTCATCAGTCAGAGAAGAGTCAGAACAGGCGAGTTGTGTAGTGATGCATACAGTGCTTGCAACTGAAATCCGACCCACTTGGCGGCGCGGCGCGCCGCCAAGTGGGTCGGATTTCAGTTGCCAGCACTGTACACGACTGTACAAGGACAGTACTGGCAACTGAAATCCGACCCCCTAGCGGTGCGCTAACGTGCGAGACGCTAGGGGAGGGGGGGGGCTCGGATTTCAGTAGCCACCACTGTAGGATCGACTGCAGTGTCGATGTATGTCGGGTCCGAAGAACGCTGGGTATAGCATAACAATCATAATGATTTTATAGATCTACAGTGCTGGCAACTGAAATCCGACCCCCTGGGCGGTGCGTTTACTTTCTAGCGGCCTCTATTTCGTAGTGTTACGATGTGAGCGCACCGCTCAGGGGGTCGGATTTCAGTTTGTAGATTGTGTGTAAAGGTTTTTCGTCCGATGATCGATTCTAGTCAAACTCAGATCAGAGTTACTGCAACTGTTCGGCCTTGTGCTTGTGACATGTAACGCAGCGCGCTAGCAGCTGTGTGACTGTGAGTGTGACTGTGAGTGTGAGTCAGTGTTGTGAAGCTCTGACTCCCCGAGCTAGACACAGTAATTTATTATACTATGCACGACCAGGCTCGTGTTGTGATTGTGAGGTGAAACTTGAAAGGAGGTGAGGTTTGATATTCTGAATCGTACAATTATTAGCAATCTGTTGCAGTTGGAGTGAGTGCCAGTGGGGGTCATATGCATACGCAGCATAGTCATCAGTCTCGGCCATTGAAATGAACTACGAGCTATCGACTCCACCGCGCCGCACGAGGTGAAGAGAAGACGCCAGCGACTGGGCAGCAAGCCTTCTGAATCCCCTGCGAATCCAAGCCAACTGCCCAGCTCTGAGCGTGAGCATGCGGTGTGCTAAGCACCTGGACGTGACATCCCTTAGATGTAGACTTCTGGCCATTATTCTAGCGAGTGCGTTTGTGTGCTTGTGGATCATTATTGAGAGCAGAATGCATAGTCTTGATGGCCCAAGCGCTGAGCACTTTGTTGCCTTTAGCAAGTCGATATCAGGTGCTGACCACACAGCTACAATGACTGGAGTGAACGGTGCTAGAACGTGCAAGAAACTGTTGCTAATTGTGATTTTCAATTTCCCGTTTTCCAAGAACGTGCCTGTGTTGCGGCTGCTCTATGGCGACGTGTTTTCCAAGATTTTATTCTATGCGGACAAGGCTGATGCCAAGTGGAACGTGGCGAAGATAGACGTACGCGAGGGCTTCTTCCAGCACCGCGTTGTGGCGGATGCCATGCGCCGGTACCCCAGCTATGACGGGTACATGTGGATTGGGGATGATGTGCTGCTCAACTATCCCTTCACGCTAACCCAGCTCAATATGTCCAAACTGTGGTTGGCCGGGCCTGATGAAGTATGCTTCTGCACAAGCAATGTAGAGCGTGATTTATGCAGACAGCACTGGCAATGGGAGCAGCAGAGCGGCTACTCGGCTGCCGTGAATGCCGTAATGCATTTGCCGGCGAAGTTTAAAAGTAGAATATCAGATGCATTCGGCAACACGGGCTGCCTGATGAAAGGTGCATCGGACGCTGGGTATATTCCGGCTCATTATGTGTCGGAGTTCATGTTGTTAGCAGATATATTCCGTTCTGTTTTCTTTGAGTTTGCCATCCCGAGCACATTTCTGTTGCTATCACCGGGAAGGGAAAGCATCAGCTTTGCCAAATGTTTCTACTCCTGGGGATTCAATGCCACTGCACGTTTCCTTGAAGTGGAGCGTGCATGGAACAGTACAATTGAGTATGTTCACCCAGTAAAGCTGAGCTCTTTGACTCAACGAACTGCCGCAGGGCACTGGCTAGCAAATGCTAGGAGTCAGTTCCACCAGAACAAAAAGCCATTGTCAGATTTGGTTTGCAGGTGACCATGGACATGGTGAATGCATATGTTTCCTGGTGAAAGCAGCACCGCTGTTTTCCAAGGTTGATTTTCTATTGAATTGAGATACAAGTGATCAATTTCTGTACTAGCAAACACCTCCACTACATTCTACAACAAGACTACTTTCATCATTTTATTGGGTGGATATTTAGGGCAAATATTTATATCGCAATCAAATTATTACACATATGGATGTACGGTAAAGACTTTGCAGTGCCGGCTACTCAGCACTTGCATCGAGTACTTTGACCGCTGTTGTTGAGGTTACTCTCTGTGTGTCATGATACTGATCATATTTTTTAGTGACTTATTTAAAAAAGTTATTTTATATTTGACCAGCTTCCCCTTTCGTACCCCAGCGTACATTGTGTCATACAAGGTGATAGAGCAACATCACACATTGTACGCTCCTCTACATTCGTCCTGTTGAGCACTCTCGGTAGGCTGCGCTAGTGCTGCTGCATGACGCATCGTTCGCTACTTTTCGTGGTTTGAGCACTCTGGCGCTAGAGCAACGAGTTACCTTTTAATGTCTGTGGTGCCACCTTTTCCGCCATGACCGGTAACTCGGCTTACTTAAAAAGCTCGTAGCTGTACTGATGAGGCCTTTATGGCCGAAACAGCTTGCTGTCTATAGCATTGGGTAACATGTAACACAGCCATATGTCTACTATGCACCCACCCAGGGGAACTTATGCTACATGTCCCTACTCGTACTCGCATGTTTTTTACATACTGGTGCCGCAAATTTTTCCCGTACTTTGCATTTGGCATGGAAAGACAATTTTGGAAGATGAAAAAAAATGGTTGTATGCCAGGCCGGGGTGATTCCCCTGCCCGCCCTACTACATGACTTGTACTACAGGTAGACTCCCTTTAATTCGAACCTCAAATTGCCAGGCCCTAACTTCGAATTATCCAGAACTTCTAATTATCCAAATGCAGCCCCATGCACTGATATGTATGTCAAAATGCTTGAAATCGCATGCTGAATATTTTTTGCACATTTTTATTTGCATCAACGAAACATAGGTGCAAGGACGGGTACCGGTCGTGTACAATGGATCATCAAACCACTGGCACTGGGTCGACACAAAAATCATCTTCATTTTCTAGTGAAGAAGTTGTCAGTCACTGCAGCTTTCCTGAAACAATTTCAACGGAAAAGAACTGCGCTGCCTAATCCGCGTCATGAAGGGCCGTCGGACAGCAGCACGTCGTTCTGAAGAACGGAAATGGAGCATAGGCATAGACAATATTTACGACAATAGTGTTTTTGTGCGCCAACATCTCCGCGCACGAGCTGGCGCGGCAAGAAAGGCCATCGAGATCCGCGAAGAGAGTCAGCCACCTGGAAGACATTGTCTTCAATCAAACCTTTGCAATTTGCCTCGCACGGGCTTGAAATAAATTTCGAGAGAAGGTGGGTTTCTTGAACGCTATAGTCGATCCTGCAGCGGACCATCGATCGATTTTTTAGCTACTCTTGGCTAGAGAAGGAGAAAAGAATGAACTTCGAATTACAAGGATAGCAATCAATCTCACTTCGAAATAAGCGTTCAAAGGACATAGCCAATGTACTGTAAACAGCTCTTCTGTACGAAAACTGGGTTCGAATTATCCAACCGGCGCACTTTTCGTACTTCGAATTATGCATTCGATTTTGACTTGAAGTGACTTGCATGCAGAAGATCGGTACGACGAAAAAGTTCGAATTACACGGAATGTTCGAATTATACCGTATTCGAATTAGAGGGAGTCTACCTGTATTTTGACCTGGCTAGAACCATGGCGTCACTGCCAGAGCTAAAACTTAGTAATAACCAGTACCCAGTTGCCGAGGCTGGTTGATAAAATGACTCCAATTTCATTTCAAGGTACCAGTGCATCTAGACTCTAGTGTCTGCTTTTACCAAAGCAGCGTGCTGTCAATACTGGTTACCCCAGCGAGTGTAGGGTGTGCATAGGTGTGTCTTGGCCGTCCCTATGTACTCCGTGTGGTGTAGACCAGGTGTGCATTGGGGGGGGGGGGGGGGGGGCGATTCACATGGCTTCGCCAGTTGTGTGGATTAGACAGTTATCTTGCGCTTCTCTTGATCTGTTTCAATCAGATCCGCTATCGTTGCTAAAGAGAAAATCTGTGGGTGCACATCCAGTGCATTTGCAGATTTGCGTGCTTCTCTTGCGACGGGCGTATACATGTGTAGTATCTCTAGCTCTATCAGTATCACTGAACAGTCATCACACAACCTCCTGGTATTACTAGCTACCTGTAGTTCACATGTACATGCTAAGTGCTTCTCCCAGCAACCACTTACTTTGAAGTAGGACTACTAGACAACCCTGCCTGCAGACCGGTACGGCCTGACCTGTTGCATTCATGCTGTAAATATGCATTACATTGATTCCTGTGTAGTCTGTCCCCCCTCACTGACCCCTTTTGATCACTTGCGAGATGCCTTCCCATCCAACAGCTTTCTTCCCCGAACCCATGTTATTGATCAGCCCTAGCTCACACACATTCAAATGCCTTTTCCTTAGATCTTCCAACAGTTGTCTTCCTAGTAATCTTTATGCCCCCTTTACCCTGCCTGCCATTCACATTAGTTTCCTCCATACTTTTAGATTGCATTCCTGTTGCATAAACCTTGCTCGCCTCTTAGGTCCATTCATCCTCCCACACTGT